TAAAATCCAATTAGTCAAATTAAAAGGGTTAGGGGTCACCAACCTTCTTTTGTTCAACTGGGTCATAATAATTTCTAAAGGTCTCATACTTCAAAAACAAAGTGATGCAGAGTGAAAACTAATCACAATTTTAATATAGTCAGTATTCTAATAAATATAAATACAAACTTAATTACTGACAATCCTGATCTTTGGATATAAATCCTGATTCAAAATTAACCTTGTAGTGCAGTCTACAGATCAGTTAAATCTGAAACATTTTGAGTCATGCAAAATCTGTTAAAGGTCTGCATGTAGCCCAAGGATTGCAGGCTGGTGACTTCTGTTATAGACCATGATATAAGCATAAACACTTAAAGGTATTATATGCATAGCAAAGGAACTGGGAAATTCTTTCCAAGAATATTTGGAATATAAAACAGATAATATAAAATTTGCATTGGATAACTTCTTGCTCACAAACTGACCTTCTTAAAGATACATAGCATTGAAGCACACCATCACAAATATTTTACTAATAACTCATGTGCAATATATAAAAATGTCCCAGTATTACCCAACTATACAAACTGTGCAAAATACTATATAATACTATAATTCTCAACTGTGCAGAAACTGTGCAAAATCCTACATAATACTATCATACCAGTTTTACATTCTTATCTGTGGATACAAAGAAGTCAAACAATATATATAATGCATATATACTGATATCCTATCAAAGAGACAATCAGCAATTCTTCAACAACTTTAAAACATTTAATAAATAAACAGAAATTATTACAGTGCTATTTTATTTACATATATGTTTGCACTTGGTGCAACTGAATGTGGAAATAAAGGTTATATATGGAATCATGCCTGAAAAATAGTAAGCAGTATATGAAGAAAATAAATCTTTACTGCACCTCCAAAATATATTATACTCAATAGAAAACATACAAAAATAATACTTGTCAAAATATTATAATAAAACTCTGAGAAAAACTTTGCTCAAGAAAGAGGAAAGACAAAAAATATTATTGAGACAATATCAAAATCCTGAGAATAGCTTAGCTCAAGAAAGAGGAAAGACAAAATTAATATTGAGACAACATGCATATCATCATTGTACTGTCTCAATATTAAGTGCAAGACTGCTGTAAAGTACTATACAGTACTATACACAAGAACTTGCTTCTCACACTGTAGCTAATGAAAAAATAAAGGTCTGAACTGTTATTAAATAATGATATAGGCACTTCAGTGTATTGCATGTAATTATTGGTTGATTACAAAGAAAAAGACTGAAAACAATTACCTTAAATGCTTCATTAGTAAAATTTTACCTTATAATGTACCCTAGCTTTTTCTGGGTTTAATTTTCTCATACGCAAACTTCTGTCCTCTGTCCATCAAACGTCCAGTACCTTCAGTCTCTATTAGTGTCTTCTTCCGTAAAAAATGGAAATGATCTAATGCGAAGTTGTAAAATTCATTTTCCAACCTCCAAACCTGAAATCACAGTACACATCATTATTTATTATAAAACAAGAAGTTTGGAATATTGGCAATTTGGAGGGATATGTTGTGTATCTTTGTACGTACGTATATGCTTATAAACTGTTGTATTCTGAGCACTTCTGCAAAAACAGTGATTATGTGTGAGGGGAAAGTGTTGAATGATGATGAAAGTATTTTCTTTTTGGGGATTTTCTTTCTTTTTGGGTCACCCTGCCTCGGTGGGAGACGGCCGACTTGTTAAAAAAAAAAAAAAACAAAGAGGAAGTGAAAGTACATAAACACAATTGAAGATCTTACCTTACAGACCATCTTAGTGAGTGAATACTGATGAATTGCTGATTTACTTTTTTAACACATCAGCCATCTCCCACTGAAGTAGGGTGATCCAAAAAAGAAGAAAAAGCATTTTCACCATTATTCATTCCATCACCGTCTTCCCAGAGAATCGCTGACATTACAGTTCTGATGCCTCTCCAAACTGTACTGTCCCCACCCCTCCTCCAGAGCAGGCACTGTACCTTCCACTTTGAAAACTCAAGTTCGGCCAACTGATTTCTGCGAGTCCACTCATAGTACCTTTTTCACACTCCAACAGTACATCAAGTCATAAAAGCCACATGCATCCACTCACTTCTTCTAACAAGCTAACACATGCCTGTTGGATGTCCAAGCCCCTTGCAAACAAAACCTCCTGAACTCTCTCCCTCCAACAACTGCTAGGATGACCCCTACCCTGCCTTCCCTCCACAACAGAATTATACACCCAAGTCATCCTATTTTACTCCATCCTCTTTAACCCTTAAACGGTCCAAACAGATCGACGCTCAAATTCGTAGTGCTACAAAAGTAGATCTACTTTTTTTTTTACCATATTTTCAAATATAACAAAAAAAAATGTAGATAAAAGTTTTTTTTACACATTTTCAAATGTAAAACAAAAAAGATCTACATTTTTTTACATACTTTCAGATGCTGAAAAAACGTATATATATGTTTGGACCATTTAAGGGTTAAATGTCCAAACGACCTCCATAACCCCTCCTCAGCCCTCTGGATAATACTTTTAGTAACCTGCACCTTTTAATCTACAAGCTATAAATTCTCTGCATAATATTCACACCACACATTGCCCTCAGACACAGCACCTCCACTTCATACAACCTCCTCCTCCTCCTCACTGCAACTGTTAAAACCTATGCTTCACACCCATATAAATGTATTGGTATCAATATACACTGACACATTCCTCTTGTACAAGAAATTATTTTCTCCAAATGGTCATGGTAGGCAGGTTAAGGAAGCACATGTGGGAGATTAAATGTTGCCATGTATCTATAAGAATTTTTTTTCACAGATAACAGATCAATACAATCATAATATTGACAAATGCAAAGTTCTAAATGTTGGACAGGAAAATAACCATGCCACATATAAACTAAATAATGTAGATCTTAATACTACCGATTGCAAAAAGGATTTAGGAGTTCTGGTTAGCAGTAACCTAAAACCAAGACAACAGTGCATTAGTGTTTGCAATAAAGCTAACAGAATTCTTGGCTTCATATCTAGAAGTATAAATAATAGAAGTCCTCAGGTTGTTCTTCAACTCTATATATCCTTGGTTAGGCCTCATTTAGACTATGCTGCTCAGTTCTGGTCACCGTATTACAGAATGGACATAAATGCTCTGGAAAACGTACAAAGGAGGATGACAAAGATGATCCCACGTATCAGAAATCTTCCCTATGAGGATAGACTGAAGGCCCTGAATCTGCACTCTCTCGAAAGGCATAGAATTAGGGGAGATATGATCGAGGTGTATAAATGGAAAACAGGAATAAATAAAGGGAATGTAAATAGTGTGCTGAAAATTTCCAGCGAAGACAGGACTCGCAGAAATGGTTTCAAGTTGGAAAAATTCAGATTCAGGAAGGATATAGGAAAGCACTGGTTTGGTAATAGAGTTGTGGATGAGTGGAACAAGCTCCCGAGTACAGTTATTGAGGCTAAAACATTGTGTAGTTTTAAAAATAGGTTAGATAAATACAGGAAGGCCCCACTTATACGGCGGGTTAGGTTCCAGGCTACCGCCGTAAAGCGGAAACCGCCGTAAAGTGGAACACCCTTTTTTTCCACTTACAAATGCATACAAACACTAGATAACAAGTTTACACTAACATATATTATGTTAGCAATAGAACCAGGCATCAAAAAACAATAAAAAAAGTACAATACACACATAGTGCACTCATTACTTACCTTAAAAAATTTTATAGTCTTAATCTAGGGTGAGACAAGTAGTATTTATTGTAAGAAATCAAGTGTGGTATGTATTGTAATAGCCAGGCTACCTCACCAGGCCACCCACCCACACATACTATTCTATGATATTTAAGCATCCCAGAGCGATAAAATGTATATACAGTTCACTCATTACTTACCTTAAAATATTTGTAGTCTTAATGTAGGGTCAGGAGTAAGTAAATGAGATAAAACGAATAAATGAGAGAGAGAAAAGAATGAGTAAAATGAGAGGTAACAGGCGCAGAGTTATGTAAACAAACCAGGCTCCCACATCTTATATTTATGTTTATTTATTCTATTGTGGGGTGTATTTATCATCTTTTTATGTTATGTATCGTGTTTATTATATAATTTTGAAAAAAATATCATGGATGGATTAATGAAAATGTGTATATTACCGCAATATAACGACATTTAATGAGACTCGGTGACTATTGTTATTATCACCACTTGTGGAAGTCGTCTGCTACCACAGCTCACATTTATTTTATTTATTCTACTGTGGGGTGTATTATCTTATTTATATGTTTATGCATCGTGTTTATTATATAATTTTGAAAAAAATATCATGGATGGATTAATGAAAATGTGTATATTACCGTAATATACGACATTTAATGAGACTCCGGTGACTATTGTTATTATCACCACTTGTGGGAAATCGTCTGCTACCACAGCTCACATTTATGTTTATTTATTTACTGTGGGGTGTATTTATCTTATTTATATGTTATGCATCGTGTTTATTATATAATTTTGAAAAAAATATCATGGATGGATTAATGAAAATGTGTATATTACCGTAATATACGACATTTAATGAGACTCGGTGACTATTGTTATTATGGCGTCACTTGTGGAAGTCGTCTACTCACATCTCACATTTATGTTTATTTATTCTACTGTGGGGTGTATTTATTTATCTTATTTATATGTTATGCATCGTGTTTATTATATAATTTTGAAAAAAATATCATGGATGGATTAATGAAAATGTGTATATTAACGTAATATACGACATTTAAATGACTCGATGTATGTAAGTTTATTTAGGTACAGGTATACATAAGTATAATTATCAGAGTATATATAAAATATGAAATAACTTTTAAAAACATTTGAAATTTTGGAGTTTCCAGACAAAATGGAGAGACTTAGTGCTTACTGAGCTCATGGAGAATGTAAACAAACAGGGTGGGGCACGGTGACCGTATTAGAAAGTCAGGTGGGGGGAGCCGTATAGTGAGTTTTGGTCATAATTTGAAATGTCCGTATTAGCGGAACGCCGTAAAGTGAAACGCCGTAAAGCGGGGCCTTCCTGTACATGAGCGGGTGTGGGTGGGTGTGAGTTGGACCTGACTAGCTTGTGCTGCTGGGTCTGGTACAGTGCTCCATCCTTGAGTGGGGATGACCAGACTGGGTGGGTCATTGGGATAATCCAGGGGGTGGGTCATTGGTCTAATCCAGGGGGGGGACATGGACCTGCTCTGCATGGGTCAGTAGGCCTGTTGCAGTGTTCCTTCTTTCTTATGTTATGTTCTTATGAAAAGAAAAAATATTTTACTGTGTAAAATGCAATACCATAATCTATCTTACCTTAGTATTTTGAAGTTTTGCTATAGTTTCTTCAGAAGGTTGGATTTTCTTAACAGTTTTTCTTAGATGAGACTTGGAACCTATAAAGAAAGGTGAGAAACCTACAACAAATACACATCTCATTTTTTTAACACATGGTCCATTTTCCCATAAAAAAATGGAAATAAATTTACCATCATTCATTCAACAGCTGTCTTGCCAGAAACACACAGACATCCCATTCAAATGACCCCTGATCTACAGTGTTCCCACTCAGCCCTCAGAGTGCAGACACTACTTCTCACCTCCAGAACTCAAATCCAGATACTAATTGGTTTCCCTAAATGAGTCATTTACCTGGAGAGGGTTCTGGGGATCAACGCCCCAGCAGCTCGGTCTGAGACCAGGCCTTGTGGTGGATCAGGGTCTGATCAACCAAGCTGTTGCTGCTGGCCACATGCAAACTGATGTACAAACCATAGCCCGGTTGGTCAGGCACTGACTTTAGGGAATACAGAATACAGATCAAGGGCCTTCAACCGTTCCCAGTAATTTAGATGCCTTATCATACTTATGTGTGCAGTGAAAGTTCTTTGTACAATCTCCAGGTCAGCAATTTCCCCTGCCTTGAAGGGAGCAGTTAGTGTACAGCAGTATTCCAGCCTAGAGAGAACAAGCGATTTGAAGAGAATCATGGGCTTGGCATCCATAGTTTTGAAGGTTCTCATAATTCATCCTATTATTTTTCTAGCAGATGCGGTAGATACATTGTTGTGGTCTTTGAAGGCGAGATCCTCTGACATTATCACTCCCAAGTCCTTCGTATTACTTTTTCACTCTATTGTATGGTTAGAATTTGTCATATACCCTGATACAGGTTTAATTTCCTCAAGTTCTCCATATCTGAATAGTTGAAATTTCTCCTCATTGAACTTCAAATTGTTCCGAGTGGCCCATTTAAAGATTTGGTTTATGTCCGCTTGGAGTCTTGCAGTGTCTTCAATGGAAGTCACTGTCATGGCAATCCAGGTGTCATCAGCAAAGGCAGACACAGGGCTACGGCTTACATCTCTCTGTCTGTCAGATATGAGGATGAGGAATAGAATGGGAGAGAGTACTGTGCCCTGTGGAACAGAGCTTTTCACAGTAGCTGCCTCAGACTTTACTCTGTTTACTATTACTCTTTGTGTTCTACTTGTCCGGAAGTTGTAGATCCATCTACCAACTTTTCATCATCACGCATTTTGTGTGCTATTACACCATGGTCACACTTGTCGAAAGCTTTTGCAAAGTCTGTGTATACTACATCCGTATTCTGTTTATCCTTTACAGCATCCAGGACCTTGTCATAGTGATCCAGTAGTTGGGACAGGCAGGAGCGACCTGCTCTAAACCTGTGTTGCCTTGGGTTGTGTAACTGATGGGTATCTAGGTGGTTGGCGATCTTACTTCTTAGAACCCTTTCAAAGATTTTTATGATATGGGATGTTAGTGCTACTGGTCTGTATTTCTTTGCAACTGGTTTACTGCCACCTTTGTAGAGTGGGGCTATGTCTGTTGTTTTTAGTGAGTGTGGGATGACCACTGTCTCTATGCTCCCTCTCCATAGAATGGTGAAGGCACGCAACAGGGGCTTCTTGCTGTTCTTGATGAACACAGAGTTCCACGAGTCTGGGCCTGGGGCAGAGTGCATGGGCATGTCATTTATTGCCTTTTCAAAGTCTTGCGGTGTTAGGTAATATCCAAGATTTTTGAGATGACCAAATTTTGGGTATCGTTCACAAAGAAATCATTTGGATTATTGGCCTTTAGTCTGGGCAGTGGCTTGTTGAACACTGAGTCGTATTGGGACCTTCGTATCTCACTCATTTCTTGACAGTCATCTGTGTGTGTCCCATCTTGCCTAAGCAAGGGCCCAATGCTGGATGTTGCTTTTCCCTTAGATTTGGCATAAAAGAAGTATTTTGGGTTATTTCAATTTCCTTTTGGCTTTTAGTTCTTCCTGTGATTCTTGTCTCCTGTAAGATTCCTTCAGTTTAAGTTCGATATTGCAATTTCATTAACCAATGCCTCCCTTCGTATATCAGATATACAGTGGAACCTGTACTTACGAGTGCCCCAACGTGCAAGTTTTTCAAGATATGAGCAGTTGGTAGGTCGATTTTATGCTTCCAGATGCGAGTAAAATTTCAAGATGCGAGTGGGCCTCAAGGGAGGTTCCTTGACGCTGGTGAGGGGCTCTTGCTCTTGATCTAGGGAACTGGATCTCAGTTCTTTGTTGGACTATCTTATTGAAACTTGGGCAATGTATGATGGAGAGATGCTTCTTAAAGTACACCAAAATTGAAAGAAATCGGACAATAAATAACAGAGTTCGCTTCTCAGCCATTAGCCGCCCCTTAGTATATTCTCATATGGTTTTTTTGGTTGTATTCTCACTTTTTTGGTCTCATTTGATAGAATGGAAGACATATTAAAGATATAGATATGATTTTGATTGGTTTCACAATGAAAACTACCTTGAAATTGAGCTCAAAGTAGCAGAAATGTTCGATTCTTTGGTGATGTTCAAGAGTAAACAAATGATGTCACCATCCCATACCTGCCTGACTGACCATTCCAATACGCAATCACGAATGGGTTGACATTATTTATACAATTATTACAATAATGCAGTAGTGTGCATAACAGTAAATCTTCTATCTTTTGTGTGAATAAAAATTCCAAATGGCAAGCAAGAGTACAGTGGACCCTCAACAAACACTGGCATCATCTAACGATAAAATCACCTAACGATGCGTTTCTACATAAAAATATTGGCTCAACAACGATGAAACACTCAGGTAAGGACATTCATCCCGAACGCGTCCGTCTTCCGCCGTCCAGCCTGAGCACTTCAGCTGCCCTGTCTTCAGCTAGTGTGCCAATGTTTACAAGCCATGGCGGAGAGTTTCATGCATACATGCGATATGTTTTGTATTATTCCATTATTTTTAGTGCTTGTAACTGCTAAATAAGCCACCATGGGCCCAAAGAAAGCTTCTAGTGCCAACCCTGTGGTAAAAAGGGTGAGAAATACTATCAAAATACTATCGTACCATGGTCAGCTGTTGCTGCACCACCGTCAGCTGCTGCTGTACCACTGTCAGCTGCTGCTGTGCCATAGCCAGCTGCTGCTGTTGCTGCACCACTGTCGGCTGCTAATGTACCACCGTCAGCTGCTGCTGTACCACCGTCAGCTGCTGCTGTACCACCATCAGCTGCTGCTATACCACCGTCAGCTGCTGCTATACCACAGTCAGCTGCTGCTGTACCACTGTCAGCTGCTGCTATTGCTGCACCACCATCAGCTGCTGCTGCACCACCGTCAGGTGTACTACTCGAAGATGTGAAGTGTGTGTTGTAGGTGTGGCTTAACGAGAAGCAATTACTGAGGAACAATTAACCCCAGAGGGTTAGCCATCCAGGATAACCCAAGAGAGTGAGTGCGTCATCGAGGACTAACTTATTTCCACTTGGGTCTTTAATCTTGTTCCCCAGGATGTGACCCACACCAGTCAACTAACACCCAGGTGAACAGGAAAAAATGCCTGGAACTAGTGCTCATATTGGTGAATTTAAGGCCAGCAAAGGTTGGTTTGAGAGATTTAAGAATCGTAGTAGCATACACAGTGTGATAAGGCGTGGCGAAACTGAAAAATTCTAACCCCAACAAGTGTTCCATTGTAATGAAACAAGCCTGTTCTGGAAGAAAATGCCAAACAGGACCTACATTACTCAGGAGGAAAAGGCCCTCCCAGGACACAAGCCTATAAAAGACATGCTAACTCTCATGTTGTGTTGTAATGCTAGTGGGGATTGCAAAGTGAAGCCTTTACTCATGTATCACTGAAAATCCCAGTGTGTTCAAGAAAAAGTGTCTCATCACTCATCAATACTCTTCAATAAAGGTAAGTGTCATTTTAGCATTTATTTATGTAGCTATTGTGCATGTCTCATTGTTTTCTTTGTAGGGAAATGTATACTTCATGATTTTTTTTTTTAATAATTTTGGCTGTCTGGAATGGATTAATTGGATTTCCATTACTTCTTATGGGTAAAATTAATTCGGCTAATGATAAATTCGGCTAAGGACAAGCTCTCTGGAACGGATTAATATCGTTGGTCGAGGGTCCACTGTATTATTATAAGAATATGTACGTACTAATTAATAATAATAATAATAATAATAATAATAATAATAATAAAACTAATACACATAATAATAGGTATACCATCTTTTAGGAGTGAAGAAGAGCAGAATGTAAGTGTGGGGGAGGTACGTGAGGCATTACGTAAAATGAAAGGGGGTAAAGCAGCTGGAACTGATGGGATCATGACAGAAATGTTAAAAGCAGGGGGGGATATAGTGTTGGAGTGGTTGGTACTTTTGTTTAATAAATGTATGAAAGAGGGGAAGGTACCTAGGGATTGGCAGAGAGCATGTATAGTCCCTTTATATAAAGGGAAAGGGGACAAAAGAGACTGTAAAAATTATAGAGGAATAAGCTTACTGAGTATACCAGGAAAAGTGTACGGTAGGGTTATAATTGAAAGAATTAGAGGTAAGACAGAATGTAGGATTGCGGATGACAAGGAGGTTTTAGAGTGGGTAGGGGATGTGTAGACAGGTGTTTACATTGAAGCATATATGTGAACAGTATTTAGATAAAGATAGGGAAGTTTTTTATTGCATTTATGGATTTAGAAAAGGCATATGATAGAGTGGATAGAGGAGCAATGTGGCAGATGTTGCAAGTATATGGAATGGGTTTGGTAAGTTTATTAAATGCTGTAAAGAGTTTTTATGAGGATAGTGAGGCTCAGGTTAGGGTGTGTAGAAGAGAGGGAGACTACTTCCCGGTAAAAGTAGGTCTTAGACAGGGATGTGTAATGTCACCATGGTTGTTTAATATATTTATAGATGGGGTTGTAAAGGAAGTAATTGCTAGGGTGTTTGGGAGAGGGGTGGGATTAAAATTATGGGGAATCAAATTCAAAATGGGAATTGACACAGTTACTTTTTGCTGATGATACTGTGCTTATGGGAGATTCAAAAAGAAAAATTGCAAAGGTTAGTGGATGAGTTGGGAATGTGTGTAAAGGTAGAAAGTTGAAAGTGAACATAGAAAAGAGTAAGGTGATGGGGGTGTCAAATGTTTTTAGATAAAAAAAAATTTGGGATATCAAATTGGGGAGGAGGATATGGAAGAAGTGAATGTTTTCAGTTTACTTGGGAGTTTGACGTGTCGGCGGATGGATTTATGAAGGATGAGGTTAATCATAGAATTGATGAGGGAAAAAAGGTGAGTGGTGCGTTGAGGTATATGTGGAGTCAAAAAACGTTATCTATGGAGGCAAAGAAGGGAATGTATGAAAGTATAGTAGTACCAACACTCTTATATGGGTGTGAAGCTTGGGTGTAAATGCAGCAGCGAGGAGACGGTTGGAGGCAGCGGAGATGTCCTGTTTAAGGGCAATGTGTGGTGTAAATATTATGCAGAAAATTCGGAGTGTGGAAATTAGGAGAAGGTGTGGAGTTAATAAAAGTATTAGTCAGAGGGCAGAAGAGGGGTTGTTGAGGTGGTTTGGTCATTTAGAGAGAATGGATCACATGTAGAATGACATGGAAAGCATATAAATCTATAGGGGAAGGAAGGCGGGGTAGGGGTCGTCCTCGAAAGGGTTGGAGAGAGGGGGTAAAAAGGGGGTTTTGTGGGTAAGGGGCTTGGACTTCCAGCAAGCGTGCGTGAGCGTGTTAGATAGGAGTGAATGGAGACGAATGGTACTTGGGACCTGACGATCTGTTGGAGTGTGAGCAGGTAATATTTAGTGAAGGGATCAGGAAACCGGTTATTTTCATATAGTCGGACTTGAGTCCTGGAAATGGGAAGTACAATGCCTGCACTTTTAAAAGAGGGTTTTGGGATATTGGCAGTTTGGAGGGATATGTTGTGTATCTTTATATGTTTATGCTTCTAGACTGTTGTATTCTGAGCACCTCTGCAAAAACAGTGATAATGTGCGAGTGTGGTGAAAGTGTTGAATATGATGAAAGTATTTTCTTTTTGGGGATTTTCTTTCTTTTTTGGGTCACCCTGCCTCGGTGGGAGACGGCCGACTTGTTGAAAAAAAAAAAAAAAAAAAAAAAAAAATAATAATGTACTACAATTATAATAATAGACGGCTTTGACAGGCCGTCACTAGATGGCAGTGAATACCACAACAATGCAGGAGCAGTTATGGCCGCCTCCACCTGACACATAATGACATTTTATTCATTCTAGAGTTTATATCAGGTTTCTATGTTATTTATATTATGTCACATTAGACGAATTTTGGTAGATAAATAAGCTGTAGAGTTGATATTAGAGAAATACCGAACTATTTTGTCATGCCTGGAATTCCACTGCAACGGATTAATTCCATTTCAATTAATTTAAATGAGGAAAATTGACTCAACAAACAAGCAAATCGAGATGCGAGCAAGGTCACAGAACAGATTAAACTCGTAAGTAGAGATTCCACTGTATTGGCCCCTCTCAGCAACTCTGACTCTTCGCCTTCATCTGTATAGGGAACATCTTTCTTTTTCTTAATGGGATGTGCCTTGAGCAGATCTCAAGAACCAGTTTATTTTTTCTAGGCAAAGGTTCAGATCTATGTTGTTTAGGATATCTTAGGTTCAGATCTATGTTGTTTAGGATATCTTACCAGCTTGTTTCATTTAGAACATGGTTGACTTGTTCCCATTGTATGTTTGTTACTGAAATTGAATTTTGTGAAGACACCTTCATGACTGATCACATTTTGCTGGTTAGGAGCCCTGTGCATACACGTCTGTACCTCTATTATGTTGTGGTCTGAGTGTATTGTCTTTGATACGGTTATATTAAGTATCAGAGCATCGTTGTTAGTGAAGATGAAGTCCAGTATATTTTCTAGTCTTGCAGGCTCTAATATTTGCTGGTTTAAGGTGAATTTGGTGCAGAGATTTAATAGCTTATGTGTGTGTGTAAATTTACATCTGAGCTGCTTCCTGAGGTACATAAACACTTAGTATAACCCACTTTTTACATCTCACCCTTATTTTAATCTCATAATCTTTGAATTTATACATTTATACAGGTCTCCCTCAACATTCACGTTTTCAACTTTCACGGGCTTCACACATTCGCGAATTCCCAACCGCCAAATTCCCAGCCGCCAAATCATATTTAAGTTTCCCGCCACCTGTGAGTCCCTACTACCCTCCCTCCGACCCCCGCAACTGGCAGCCAGCCCTCCCACCACTCGGTGTGGTGAGTGTTTTGTTTGTTCATTATTTGCTATTAAACTACAGTATAAATAATGTAAACCCATTCATGACTGCATATTGGAATGGCTATTAGGAAAGGTATTAGACGGTGACATCATGTGTTTACTCTTGAACACTGCAAAGAATTAAACATTTCTGCTACAGCTAATAATAACAATAGTAATAGTAATAATAATAATAATAATAATAAATATAATATAATTGAAAAAGGAAATTGTACAAAAATATGAGGGAGTGGTTGACACATCGTCAGTGTGACTTTGTTTATGCTGGAGTGAACATTAGTCTCCCTGCTCTTCCAAACATTTCACAATAATTCATTGTGTTTGGTGCTTGTAGATTGAGTGTGACTGGAGTGGTAGAGGCAGTGATTGAGGCAATGGTATTTAATAACATACATGTTAATAATAATACATGTTATTAATAATATGTACTGTACTATTATTATTTATAGCATATATGTTATTAAATACATACATGTTAATAATAATACATGTTATTAATAACAACATGTACTATTATTATTTATAACATATATGTTATTAAATACCACTGCCTCAATTGCTGAATTATTGTGAAATGCTTGGAAGAGCAGGGAGACTAATGTTCACTCCAGCATAAACAAAGTCACACTGACGATGTGTCAACCACTCCCTCGTATTTTTGTACAATTTCCTTCTTCAATTATATCGTATTTATTATTATTATTATTATTATTATTACTATTGTTATTATACATTATTATTATTACTATTGTTATTATTAGCAATAGCAGAAATGTTCGATTCTTTGCAGTGTTCAAGAGTAAACACATGATGTCACCGTCTAATACCTTTCCTAATAGCCACTCCAATATGCAGTCATGAATGGGTTTACATTATTTATACTGTAGTTTAATAGCAAATAATGAACAAGCAAAACACTCACCACACTGAGTGGTGGGAGGGCTGGCTGCCAGTTGCGGGGGTCGGAGGGAGGATAGTAGGGACTCGCAGTGGTGGAGGCAGTGGTGGAGGCAGTGGTGGAGTCTGTAGTATTTAATAACATACATGTTATTAACATACATGTTATTAAATAACATACGTTATTAAAGCATAACATGTATATATTTAGTACAATTTACGACGTTTTCATGTATTTTATGATTATTCATGGTTCAACAAGTTAAGGAAGCAGTATTGTAATATATTTCCCTACAATATATTGGGGCACCAAACATTCATGGTTTTTCAACATTCGCGAGGCTCTTGATCCCCTAACCCTCGTGAATGTTGAGGGAGACCTGTATTCTCTTTCAACATTACTGCTACTCCTTCTTTAGTTCTAATGTTTTCAGGTACACATGACCTAATCCCATTTCTCTCCACTGAAATTTTGCTACCCATTTAGCTTTTTTCACTTAAAAATACGATATACATAAATTATGCCATCTTAAAAATTTGCCATATTTTACCCTTATCTCCCTTCATATCACCTTATTATAAATATATCCCATGTAATTCAAAATGTTTTACATACATTTATATTCCCAGATACTTACCTGAGAGATAGAGGTCGTAAGCACCTCTGAAAAATCGTGGCAGTGAGTATTCGAGCATGGCTACAAAATCTGCAATTTCCTCAGTAACCCCAACCAGAAAATAACTGTGAAGTAGGTTATTCTTGGCTTGATCAAGAGCCCAGCCAGATCCTGGAACCCTAGGAAAATACAGTAATTACACTGGATAGTTTCTAATGAAAAATATTAAATAACAAGTTATATATACAAAGAACCCTTGTGTTTTGGTCATTTACTAAAGAGAGATAACTAGACCCTTTTAGTTAGCTTCAAAATAAGCAGCCTATAAAGAAAGCATTTTAATCTGGTTTCCTACGGGAAACCAGGGAGGTACGTACTACCGTTCTGCCAAGTGAGTGTAAAACAAAAGCCTGTAATTGTTTTACATGATGGTAGTATTGCTGGTGTCCATTTTTCGTCTCATAAACATGCAAGGTTTCCGGTATACAGGGATACGGCCAGTGTGTTGAAAGAGAAAGATTATTGTAAGTCCCTATAATTCTAATGTTTTAACTATATCTAATTACATTTATTATTATAAGTCCTTGCAATTCTAATGTTATAAGAATAACTGTTATAACTTTGAACTGTAAACTCCACAGATAGTGTGAGGTACCAAGTTTTGAATTTCATACTAAGCTCCACTGAGCCCCATGTTGTTTGAGGTAAGGTGTATGCACATACCCTTCATTCTGTAGCCTGCCATTATGGACAGAGAATCCAAATCTAAAGCAACATCACTGATGTTCTTTTAGATTTGGGAAGTTGTGTTTTCATCAAACACATACTGTATAACACAGCTCCTGAGATTAATAAAAAATACATGTACATACTATGTAATATTAATTAAGTCATTACTAACCATTACAATGGCAACTCCTCTCAATTGTCCATATCTACATCAATGCTTATGTGAGTTGTGAATAATTCCACATACATTACCGTATTCTTCATTATTCCCAAGTCTTAATTACAATTCATGCAATGTCTGAAAGACCTAGAGTTTAATCAGTAGCCAAGGTAAATATTTTTACCTGTAAATGTTATCATTCCAAGAATAAAATGTTTTACCCATCAACTGTCAGTATTAAATCCCTCAACCTGAAGATAATAATTTGTGGTAGTCTCAAGAAGTGATTTTTAGCGACTTTCTCTACATTTTTCTGGGAAATAAACACAAATGTTCACAAATTCTGATGTATGAAACTGACTAACACAAATCTCAGAACATATATAGTGACTTTTAATCAATTCATTACAAAAAAAAAAAAATCATCAGAACCTTGCATTTGTCTTTTAAATTTTAGTTTAACCCTTTCACTGTCAGTGCTGTAGTACTATGGCTTACAAGCCAGTGTTGGTGCCGTAGTATTACGCCAAAATTCTAGTGGCTTCAGATCTAGTGGGAGAAAGCTGGTAGATCTACATGTGAGAGAATGGGTCTGTGTGGTTAGTATCCACAGTACAAAAAAAATCTTACAGCACGCAGTGCATGAGAAAAAAAAAAAACTCCAACCGTGTTTTTGGTTTAAAACGCCGACTTTGAGGTGTATTTTCGTATGGTATTTATGGTTGTATTCTCATTTTCTTGGTTTTATCTGATAGAATGGAAGATATATTTCAGAAAGAGAGATGATTTTGATTGGTTTCATGATGAAAAGTACCTTGAAAGTGAGCTCAAAGTAGCAGAAATGTTCGATTTTCACCAATGTTCAAGAGTAAACAAATGACTTCACCATCCAATACGTGTCCAACTGGACAGTCTAATACGCAGTCACGAATGGGTTGACATTATTTATACAATTATTACAATAATGCAGTAGTCTGCAGTAATAAAAATTCAAAATGAAAAGCATGAGTAATAAACGAGGGGCCTGGAGATGTGACTAATGAACAGAGAAAATGTTATTTTAGTACCAGAAATATCTGCACTGTTTATTCTGGACCATATTTTGAAATTGGCATCTTTTGAAATTTGTGTGAAATTGGCCAAATTGTCAATCTGACCACTTTATAGGGTAGCTGAAATCTGTAAATGGGCAGTTTCTTGTACTCAGTTAATAGAACATATGGAGTTCTAGTGAAATAGCTATGAGTTTGGTTGACTGGAACAATGGAATTGGCCGAAAATAGGGATCAAAGTGGGCGAAATCGCTGATGCGTATACAGGTCTCCCTCAACATTCACGAGGGTTAGGGGATCAAGAGCCTCGCGAATATTGAAAAACCGTGAATGTTTGGTGCCCCAATATATTGTAGGGAAATATAATACAATACTGCTTACTTAACTTGTTGAACCATGAACAATCATAAAATACATGAAAACGTCATAAATTGTACTACGTAAATACATGCGTTATGCCTTAACAACATGTATGTTATTAAATACCACTGCAAGTCCCTACTACCCTCCCTCCGACCCCCCACAACTGGCAGCCAGCCCTCCCACCACTGTGTGGTGAGTGTTTTGTTTGTTCATTATTTGCTATTAAACTACAGTATAAATAATGTAAACCCATCCATGACTGCATATTAGAATGGCTATTCGGACAGGTATTGGAAGGTGACATCATGTGTTTACTCTTGAACACAGCAAAGAATCAAACATTTCTGCTACTGCTAATAATAATAATAATAATAATAATAATGATAATAATAATTATTTTATTTTATTTATTATCACACTGGCTGATTCCCACCAAGGCAGGGTGGCCCAAAAAAGAAAAACTTTCACCATCATTCACTCCATCACTGTCTTGCCAGAAGGGTGCTTTACACTACAGTTTTTAAACTGCAACATTAACACCCCTCCTTCAGAGTGCAGGCACTGTACTTCCCATCTCCAGGACTCAAGTCCGGCCTGCCGGTTTCCCTGAATCCCTTCATAAATGTTACTTTGCTCACACTCCAACAGCACGTCAAGTATTAAAAACCATTTGTCTCCATTCACTCCTATCAAACACGCTCACGCATGCCTGCTGGAAGTCCAAGCCCCTCGCACACAAAACCTCCTTTACCCCCTCCCTCCAACCTTTCCTAGGCCACCCCTACCCCGCCTTCCTTCCACTACAGACTGATACACTCTTGAAGTCATTCTGTTTCGCTCCATTCTCTCTACATGTCCGAACCACCTCAACAACCCTTCCTCAGCCCTCTGGACAACAGTTTTGGTAATCCCGCACCTCCTCCTAACTTCCAAACTACGAATTCTCTGCATTATATTCACACCACACATTGCCCTCAGACATGACATTTCCACTGCCTCAAGCCTTCTCCTCGCTGCAACATTCATCACCCATGCTTCACACCCATATAAGAGCGTTGATAAAACCATACTCTCATACATTCCCCTCTTTGCCTCCAAGGACAAAGTTCTTTGTCTCCACAGACTCCTAAGTGCACCACTCACCCTTTTCCCCTCATCAATTCTATGATTCACCTCATCTTTCATAGACCCATCTGCTGACACGTCCACTCCCAAATATCTGAATACATTCACCTCCTCCATACTCTCTCCCTCCAATCTTACATCCAATCTTTCATCACCTAATCTTTTTGTTATCCTCATAACCTTACTCTTTCCTGTATTCACTTTTAATTTTCTTCTTTTGCACACCCTACCAAATTCATCCACCAATCTCTGCAACTTCTCTTCAGAATCTCCCAAGAGCTCAGTGTCATCAGCAAAGAGCAACTGTGACAACTCCCACTTTATGTGTGATTCTTTATCTTTTAACTCCACGCCTCTTGCCAAGACCCTCGCATTTACTTCTCTTACAACCCCATCTATAAATATATTAAACAATCACGGTGACATCACACATCCTTGTCTAAGGTCTACATTTACTGGGAAATAATTTTCCTCTTTCCTACATACTCTAACTTGAACCTCACTATCCTCGTAAAAACTCTTCACTGCTTTCAGTAACCTACCTCCTACACCATACACCTGCAACATCTGCCACATTGCCCCCCTATCCACCCTGTCATACGCCTTTTCCAAATCCATATATTGCCACAAAGACCTCTTTAGCCTTATCTAAATACTGTTCATTTATATGTTTCACTGTAAACACCTGGTCCACACCCCCCCTACCTTTCCTAAAGCCTTCTTGTTCTTTCTGCTATCCTATTCTCCGTCTTACTCTTAATTCTTTCAATAACAACTCAAACCATACACTTTACCAGTTACTCAACAAAACTTATCCCCCTATAATTTTGCACTTCTTTTGTTGCCCCTTTGCCTTTATACAAAGAAACTATGCATGCTCTCTGCCAATCCCTAGGTACCTTACCCTCTTCCATACATTTATTAAATAATTGCACCAACCACTCCAAAAACTATATCCCCACCTGCTTTTAACATTTCTATCTTTATCCCATCAATCCCGGCTGCCTTAACCCCCTTTCATTTTACCTACTGCCTCACGAACTTCCCCCACACTCACAACGGGGCTCTTCCTCACTCCTACAAGATGTTATTCCTCCTTGCCCTATACACGAAATCACAGCTTCCCCTTTATCTTCATCAACATTTAACAATTCCTCAAAATATTCCCTCCATTTTCCCCAATACCTCTAACTCTCCATTTAATAACTCCCCTCTCCTATTTTTTAACTGACAAATCCATTTGTTCTCTAGGCTTCCTTAATTTGTTAATCTCACTCCAAAACTTTTTCTTATTTTCAAAAAAATTTTGTTGATAACATCTCACCCACTCTCTCATTTCTCTTTTTTTACATTGCTTCACCACTCTCTTAACCTCTCTCTTTTCTCCATATACTCTTCCCTCCTTGCATCACTTTCTACTTTGTAAAAAACTTCTCATAAGCTAACTTTTTCCCCCTTACTACTCTCTTTACATCATCATTCCACCAATCGCTCCTCTTCCCTCCCGCACCCACTTTCCTGTAACCACAAACTTCTGCTGAACACTCTAACACTACATTTTTAAACCTACCCCTACCTCTTCGACCCCATTGCCTATGCTCTCATTACCCCATCTATCCTCCAAAAACTGTTTATATCTTACCCTAACTGCCTCCTCTTTTAGTTTATAAACCTTCACCTCTCTTTTTCCCTGATGCTTCTATTCTCCTTGTATCCCATCTACCTTTTACTCTCAGTGTAGCTACAACTAGAAAGTGATCTATATATCTGTGGCCCCTCTATAAACATGTACATCCTGAAGTCTACTAAACAGTCTTTTATCTACCAATACATAATCCAACAAACTACTGTCATTTCGCCCTACATCATATCTTGAAAACTTATTTATCCTCTTTTCCTTAAAATTTTGTATTACCTATAACTAAACCCCTTCTATACAAAGTTCAATCAAAGGGGCTCCCCTTATCATTTTTCACCTGGTACCCCAAACTTACCTACCACACCCTCTCTAAAAGTTTCTCCTACTTATAGCATTCAGATCCCCTACCACAATTACTCTCTCACTTGGTTCAAAGGCTCCTATACATTCACTTAACATCTCCCAAAATCTCTCTCTCCTCTACATTCCTCTCTTCTCCAGGTGCATAATAATAATAATAATAATAATAATAATAATAATAATAATAATAATAATAATAATAATAATAAATACGATAGAATTGAAGAAGGAAATTGTACAAAAATACGAGGGCTGAAGCAGTGGTGGAGGAAGTGGTTGACGCAGTGTCAGTGTGGCTTTGTTTATGCTGGAGTGAGTATTAGTCTCTGTGCTCTTCCAAACATTTCACAATAATTCACTGTATTTGGTGCTTGTAGATTGAGTGTGACTGGAGTGGTTGAGGCAGTGGTAGAGGCAGTGATAGAGGCAGTGGGTGAGGCAGTGGGTGAAGGCATGGGTGAGCAGTGGGTGAGGCAGTGGGTGAGCAGTGGTAGAGGCAGTGGTAGAGGCAGTGATAGAGGCAGTGGGTGAGGCAGTGGGTGAGGCAGTGGTAGAGGCAGTGGTAGAGGCAGTGATAGAGGCAGTGATAGAGGCAGTGGGTGAGGCAGTGGTATTTACTAACATATACATGTATGTTATAAATAATAATAGTACATGTTAATATTAATAACATTTATAATAATAATAATAATAAATGTTATTCATAATGTACTATTATTATTTATAACATATATGTTAGTAAATATCACTGCCTCTACCACTGTCTCACCCAATGCCTCAAATGCTGCCTCACCCACTGCCTCTATCACTGCCTCTACCACTGCCTCACCCACTGCCTTTACCACTGCCTCACCCACTGCCTCTATCACTGCCTCTATCACTGCCTCTACCACTGCCTCAACCACTCCAGTCACACTCAATCTACAAGCACCAAATACAATGAATTATTGTGAAATGTTTCGAGAGCACAGAGACTAATACTCACTCCAGCATAAACAAAGCCACACTGACGCTGCGTCAACCACTTCCTCCACCACTGCTTCAGCCCTCGTATTTTTGTACAATTTCCTTCTTCAATTCTATCGTATTTATTTTTATTATTATTATTATTATTATTATTATTATTATTATATTAATATTATTATTATTATTATTAGCAGTAGCAGAAATGTTTGATTCTTTGCTGTGTTCAAGAGTAAACACATGATGTCACCTTCCAATACCTGTCCGAATAGCCATTCTAATATGCAGTCATGGATGGGTTTACATTATTTATACTGTAGTTTAATAGCAAATAATGAACAAACAAAACACTCACCACACAGTGGTGGGAGGGCTGGCTGCCAGTTGCAGGGGTCGGAGGGAGGGTAGTAAGGACTCGTGGCGGTAAACTTAAATATGATTTGGCAGCTGGGAATTTGGCGGTTGGGAATTCGCGAATGTGTGAAGCCCGCGAAAGTTGAAAACGCGAATGCTGAGGGGGACCTGTATATCGCCAAGACAGCTAACTTCACGAGAGCGTAATTCCACAAGTTTTCCACCAAACTTCGTATTTTTTTTGTCATTACCACCGGAAAAAGATTCTCTATCATTTCATAAGAATTTTTTTTTTTAAATTCTTTAACACCGAGAGCAAGTTTGTGAGCAGGGATCTCGAAAGTGAAAGGGTTAAAAAGACACTTAAGAATGAGATAAAAAAAATTAAATCTAGTACTAAACTTGACACTACTAACTTGCCAATTTTAATTACAGTTAATTTTATCATAAATATCTGAAACTAATATCTTCAGTTTATTAAACTGTTGCTTATTTTTCAATCTAACATGACTTACTGAACCTTTGAACAATTGGTTTACATTATGAAATATGGTTCTGGGGAGAAATAAATGTGCATTTTGGCAAGTTAAAATATGAACAGAATGAAATAATCAGAAACAACATATACAGTTGAAAAAATAAGGAATGACAGGCACTGCCAGAAATGGGGTTAAATAAACTAACCTTTAAATACACTTCAAATTAGCAGCGAAGTACTGTATATTTACAAAGGAACAAATGCAGAGAGAAGGCATTCCCTAGAGAACTCGAGGAAAGCTTACCAGCACTCAGCATGGTGACCACAAAAGAAGGGAACTTGCACCCACAGATGAGTTGTAGAGCAGTCCGGATGTTCGATGGCTACACACTCATCCAAAGTCTAAAAACAATAATACGTAAGTAGCTAAATACCAATACCAATCTGCATTTGATTAACAGATTTTTTTTTTATTAACACACTGGCCGATTCCCACCAAGGCAGGGTGGCCCGAAAAAGAAAAACTTTCACCATCATTCACTCCATCACTGTCTTGCCAGAAGGGTGCTTTACACTACAGTTTTTAAACTGCAACATTAACACCCCTATAGATACTTCTTTCTTCTTTCAACAAACCGGCCGTATCCCACAGAGGCAGGGTGGCCCAAAAAGAAAAATTAAAATTTCACTTTTTTAATTTAGTAATTTACACAGGAGAAGGGGTTACTAGCCCCTTGCTCCCGGCATTTTAGTCGTGTCTTACAACACACATGGCTTACGGAGGAAGAATTCTGTTCCACTTCCCTATGGAGATAAGAAGAAATAAAGAAGAATAAGAACTAGAAAGAAAATAGAAGAAAACCCAGAGGTGTATGTATACATATGCTTGTACATGTACGTGTAGTGTGACCTAAGTGTAAGTAGAAGTAGCAAGACGTACCTGAAATTTTGCATGTTCATGAGACAGAAAAAATGACACCAGCAATCCTACCATCATGTACAACAATTTCAGGCTTCGTTTTAACACTCACTTGGCAGGACGGTAGTTGACGTGTCAGCGGATGGATTTATGAAGGATGAGGTTAATCATAGAATTGATGAGAGAAAAAAGGCGAATGGTGTATTAAGGTATATGTGGAGTCAAAAAAACGTTATCTATGGAGGCAAAGAAGGGAATGTATGAAAGTATAGAAGTACCAACACTCTTATATGGGTGTGAAGCTTGGGTGGTAAATGCAGCAGCGAAGAGACGGTTGGAGGCAGTGGAGATGTCCTGTTTAAGGGCAATGTGTGGTGTAAATATTATGCAGAAAATTTGGAGTGTGGAAATTAGGAAAAGGTGTGGAGTTAATAAAAGTATTAGTCAGAGGGCAGAAGAGGGGGTTGTTGAGGTGGTTTGGTCATTTAGAGAGAATGGATCAAAGTAGAATGACATGGAAAGCATATAAATCTATAGGGGAAGGAAGGCGGGGTAGGGGTCGTCCTCGAAAGGGTTGGAGAGAGGGCGTAAAGGAGGTTTTGTGGGCGAGGGGCTTGGACTTCCAGTAAGCGTGCGTGAGCGTGTTAGATAGGAGTGAATGGAGACGAATGGTACTTGGGACCTGACGATCTGTTGGAGTGTGAGCAGGGTAATATTTAGTGAAGGGATTCAGGGAAACCGGTTATTTTCATATAGTCGGACTTGAGTCCTGGAAATGGGAAGTTCAATGCCTGCACTTTAAAGGAGGGGTTTGGGATATTGGCGGTTTGGAGGGATATGTTGTGTATCTTTATACGTATATGCTTCTAAACTGTTGTATTCTGATCACCTCTGCAAAAACAGTGATAATGCGCGAGTGTGATGAAAGTGTTGAATGATGATGAAAGTATTTTCTTTTTGGGGATTTTCTTTCTTTCTTGGGTCACCCTGCCTCGGTGGGAGACGACCAACTTGTTGAAAAAAAAAAAAAAAAAAAAAAAAATTATATATAATATATATATATATACTGTATATATATATATATTTTTTTTTTTTTTCAACAAGTCGGCCGTCTCCCACCGAGCAGGGTTACCCAAAAAAGAAAGAAATCCCCAAAAAGAAAATACTTTCATCATCATTCAACACTTTCACCACACACACATTATCACTGTTTTTGCAGAGGTGCTCAGAATAAAACAGTTTAGAAGCATATACGTATAAAGATACACAACATATCCCTCCAAACTGCCAATATCCCAAACCCCTCCTTTAAAGTGCAGGCATTGTACTTCCCATTTCCAGGACTCAAGTCCGACTATATGAAAATAACCGGTTTCCCTGAATCCCTTCGCTAAATATTACCCTGCTCACACTCCAACAGATCGTCAGGTCCCAAGTGTCATTCGTCTCCATTCACTCATATCTAACATGCTCATGCATGCTTGCTGGAAGTCCAAGCCCCTCTCCCACAAAACCTCCTTTACCCCCTCTTTCCAACCCTTTCAAGGACGACCCCTACCCCTAGTTCCTTCCCCTATAGATTTATATGCTTTCCATGTCATTCTACTTTGATCCATTCTCTCTAAATGACCAAACCACCTCAACAACCCCTCTTCTTCCCTCTGACTAATGCTTTTATTAACTCCACACCTTCTCCTAATTTCCACACTCCGAATTTTCTGCATAATATTTACACCACACATTGCCCTTAGACAGGACATCTCCACTGCCTCCAACCGTCTCCTCGCTGCTGCATTTACCACCCAAGCTTCACATCCATATAAGAGTGTTGGTACTACTATACTTTCATACATTCCCTTCTTTGCCTCCATAGATAACGTTTTTTGACTCCACATATACCTCAATGCACCACTCACCTTTTTTCCTCATCAATTCTATGATTAACCTCATCCTTCATAAATCCATCCACCGACACGTCAACTCCCAAGTATCTGAAAACATTCACTTCTTCCATACTCCTCCTCCCCAATTTGATATCCAATTTTTTCTTTATCTAAATCATTTGATACCCTCATCACCTTACTCTTTTCTATGTTCACTTTCAACTTTCTACCTTTACACACATTCTCAAACTCATCCACTAACCTTTGCAATTTTTCTTTAGAATCTCCCATAAGCACAGTATCATCAGCAAAAAGTAACTGTGTCAATTCCCATTTTGAATTTGATTCCCCATAATTTAACCCCACCCCTCTCCCAAACACCCTAGCATTTACTTCTTTTACAACCCCATCTATAAATATATTAAACAACCATGGTGACATTACACATCCATATCTAAGACCTACCTTTACCGGGAAGTATTCTCCCTCTCTTCTACACACCCTAACCTGAGCCTCACTATCCTCATAAAAACTCTTTACAGCATTTAATAACTTACCACCTATTCCATGTACTTGCAACATCTGGCACATTGCTCCCCTATCCACTATCATATGCTTTTTGTAAATCCGTAAATGCAATGAAAACTTCCCTACCTTTATCTAAATACTGCTCACATATATGCTTCAATGTAAACACTTGATCTACACATCCCCTACCCACTCTAAAACCTCCTTGCTCATCTGCAATCCTACATTCTGTTTTGCCTCTAATTCTTTCAATAATAACCCTACCATACACTTTTCCTGGTATACTCAGTAAACTTATTCCTCTATAATTTTTACACTCTCTTTTGTCCTCCTTCCCTTTATATAAAGGAATTATACATCCTCTCTGCCAATCCCTAGGTACCTTCCCCTCTTTCATACATTTATTAAACAAAAAAAAACAACCACTCCAGCACAATATCCCCCCTCCCCTCCCCTGCTTTTAACATTTCTGTCATGATCCCATCAGTTCCAGCTGCTTTACCCCCTTTAATTCTACGTAATGCCTCACGCACCTCCCCCACACTCACATCCTGCTCTTCTTCACTCCTAAAAGATGGAACTTACCGCCTCCCTTTCTTCGTCGACATTTAAGTTCCTCAAAATATTCCCGCCATCTACCTAATACCTCCATCTCCCCATCTACTAACTCCCCTACTCTGTTTTTAACTGACAAATCCATTCATTCCCTAGGCTTTCTTAACTTGTTTATCTCACTCCAAGATTTTTTCTTATTTTAATCAAAATTTCTTGACAGTGCCTCTCCCACTCTATCATCTGCTCTCTTTTTACATCCTCTCACCACTCTCTTCACCTTTCTTTTACTCTCCATATACTCTGCTCTTCTTATAACACTTCTGCTTTGTAAAAACCTCTCATAATCTACCTTTTTCTCTTTTATCACACCCTTTACTTCAACATTCCACCAATCACTCCTCTTTCCTCGTGCACCCACCCTCCTATAGCCACAAACTTCTGCTCCACATTCTAATACTGCATTTTTAAAACTATCACATCCTTCTTCAACCCCCTCCCCCCACTACCCACACTTGCACTAGCCCACCTTTCTGCCAATAGTTGCTTATATCTCACCCGAACTTCTTTCTCCCTTAATTTATACACTTTCACTTCTCTCTTACTTGTTGCCATTTTCCTTTTGTCCCATCTACCTCTTATCTAATCGTAGCAACAACTAAATAATGATCCGATATATCAGTTGCCCCTCTATAAACATGTACATCCTGAAGCCTACCCATCAACCTTTTATCCACCAATATATAATCTAACATACTACTTACATTATGTGCTATATCATACCTTGTATATTTATTTATCCTCTTTTTCATAGAATATGTATTACTCATTACCAAACCTCTTTCTACACATACCTCAATTAAAGGCTCCCCATTTTCATTTACCCCTGGCACCCCAAATTTACCTACTACTTTCTCCACAACATTTTTACCCACTTTAGCATTAAGATCCCCAACCACAAGTACTCTCTCACTTGGTACAAAACTCCCTACGCACTCAACATTACCCAAAATCTCTCTCCTCCACACATCTGTCTTCCCCAGGTGCATAAACCTTACTTTAACCCACTTTTCACATCCAACCCTTCTTTCACTCCACATAATCCTTGAATTTATACATTTATATTCCCTCTTCTCCTGCCATAACTTATCCTTCAGCATTATTGCTACTCCTTCCTTAGCTCTATTAGAAACCACTGACCTAATCACATTTATTTCTCCCCACTCATACTCTCCTACCCTCTTCAGCTTCTTCTTATTCATAACATCCACAATCATCTCTTTCTTACCATTCACACAACAACCACGCACATTCAAATATCCCACTTTGACGGTTTTCTTTTCTTCTTAGTAAGTCATGTGGGTAAAGGAGTTACTAGCCCACTGCTCCCAGCATTTTAGTTGACTTTGACAACACACATGGCTTATGGAGGAAAGATTCTTATTAAACTTCCCCATGGATCTTCTTTTTTTCAACGCACCAGCCATATCCCACCGAGGCAGGGTGGCCCAAAAAAGAAAACAAAAGTTTCTCCTTTTAACTTTAGTAATATATACAGTAGAAGAGGTTACTAGCCTCTTGCTCCCAGCATTTCAGTCGCCTCTTACAGGAGGAAGAATTCTGTTCCACTTCCCCATGGAGATAAGAGGAAATAAACAAGAACAAGAACTAGAAATAAAAAAGAAGAAAACCCAGAGAGGTGTGTATATATATGCTTGTAGTATATGCATGTGAAGTGTGACCTAAGTGTAAGTAGAAGTAGCAAGATGTACCTGAAATCTTGCATGTTTATGAGACAGAAAAGACACCAGCAATTCTACCATCATGTAAAACAAATACAGGCTTTCATTTTACACTCACTTGGTAGAACGGTAGTACAGCAGTACCTCAAGTTACAAACTTAGTTCGTTCCAAGAGGCTGTTCGAGTGCCGTTACCGAATGAATTTGTTCCCATAAGGAATAATATAAATTAGATTAGTCTGTTTCAGACCCCCGAAAATACACTTACGTGTCTTTCTAAACCAACTTACAAAAGCACTTATAAAAATGCGCTTACATAATTGTTACAGTTGGGAGCTGTACGAAACTTGAGGTACCACTGTACCTCCCTGAGTGGTCGATGTCTACCAACCTACTACCTACTAACATTACTTACCTTAAAATATTTTCATCCTTAGATTATAGTAAGTGGTGAACATATTTATTGTAGGAAGTCTGAATAAATGAAGAATGGGAATAACTGAAAACTGCTGTACATGTATTAGCAAAATGCTGTAAAGTGAAGCACTGTAAAACAGGAACTGCCTGTAAATAAGAATTTAGAGGTGTAGATACAAGGGGCATAATAAGAGAGAGAGATGATTAAAATTGTAATGCTGCACTATATAAGCAATATTTATGTCTGAAAGAATTCTAGGGGTTACAGCATCATTAAGGCCATTGAACTTAACAAAATAATGGAGACAATTGGTATCTCAGAAATCCAATAATGAAAAAATATTAGAATGTGTGTACAGCCTTTCAAAGGGGTACAACTAAAAGCCCTTTAGACATAAATGCAATCCCAGATGATGAAAGACATTCAGTCTCAAAAGAGTAGCTTCCAGCAGTAGGGAACTGTACTGCACCTAGCCCTTGCAGGCTGAGTGAAGACAAAGAGGAGTTAACTGGTGTCCTAGGACAAAAAATCAAAATAAATTCAATCTACTAAGACATGTAGTTTTCAGGGAGGATATGTGGAGTTTCCATGACATTTGGCAAGCCAAGGGATTTTACAGTTTGGCAAGCTGAAAGAGAACTAGACTTGAAAAGCATATGTAGGCAAGACAGGATGCCATGTCAAGGTTACAGAACGAGTTTTGGAGATTGATATGGTACTTCTTTAACCCTTCGACTGTTTTGGCCGTATTATTTTCATATAGTCGGACTTGAGTCCTGGAAATGGGAAGTACAATGCCTGCACTTTAAAGGAGGGGTTTGGGATATTGGCAGTTTGGAGAGATATGTTGTGTATCTTTATATGTATATGCTTCTAAACTGTGGTATTCTGAGCACCTCTGCAAAAACAGTGATAATGTGTGAGTGTGGTGAAAGTGTTGAATGATGAAAGTATTTTCTTTTTGGGGATTTTCTTTTTTTTTTTTTTGGGTCACCCTGCCTCGGTGGGAGATGGCCGACTTGTTGAAAAAAAAAAAAAAAAATTCTAGCGGCTTCAAATCAAGCAGGAAAGCTGGTAGGCCCACATGTGAGAGAATGGGTCTGTGTGGTCAGTGTGCACTGTATAAAAAAAATCCTGCAGCACGCAGTGCATAATAGAAAAAAAAACTCAGACCGTGTTTTTGGATTAACATGCCAACTTTGAGGTGTATTTTCGTTTAGTATTTATGGTTATATTCCTGTTTTCTTGGTCTCATTTGATAGAATGGAAAACATATTACAGAAATAGCGATGATTTTGATTAGTTTCACAATGAAAACGACCTTAAAATTTAGCTCAAAGTAGAGGAAATGTTCGATATTTACCTATGTTCAAGAGTAAGCAAATCACACCACATGTCCAATACACGTCAACTGGGGAGACTAATATTCTTTCACTAGTGCACTGATATTATTTATACCATTTTTAGAATAATACAGTAGTCTGCCTAACAGTAAATCTTCTATTTTTTGTGTGAATAAAAAATCAACACAGAATGCAAGAGTAATATAAGAGGGGCCTGGAGACGTGACTAATGAACAGAGGATATGTTATTTTAGTGCCAAGAATGTCTGCATTGTTTATTCTGGACCCTATTTTGAAATTGGCATCTTTTTTAATTTGTATGAAATTGGCCAAACTGCCAATTTCTGACCACTATATTGGGTAGTTGAAATCGGTAAATGGGCAGTTTCTTGTACGCAATTGATACAAAAAATGGAGTTCTAAAGAAATAGCTATGAGTCTGGTTGCCTGGAACAATGGAATTGGCCGAAAATAGGGCTCAAAGTCGGTGAAATCGCTAATGTGTACATATTCGCCGAGATTGCTAACTTCGCGGGAGCGTAATTCCATAAGTTTTCAATCAAATTTCGTATTTTTGGTGTCATTAATATCGGGAAAAGATCCTCTATCATTTCATACAAAAAATCATTTTTTTTTTTCCAAAAATTTTACGACACCAGGAGACACTTCAGGATTTGGGGTTGCAACAGTCAAAAAGATTAATGAAACAAACTCCTACAACAGACTTGGCAAAAAAGTTTCTAAAGCTTCAAATGAGACAAAAATACAAACGAGTGAAAAGAGATGACTGTTCAACAGAGTATGACGTGGGTATTTTTGTAATAATCCATAATGTTTTTTTATCTTCATGGGGCAGACTTACAGAACCTATATTAAGAGCAGAATTACATACATTATAATGCAAGTATCAATAATGGATTTTAAGACTGTTGTTAACTACTGATGAATACTCAGAGACTTCACCACAAGTTTTAATGAGGAAATCCTGTATGTAAAACTGAATTTTTAAAGCAAGGCTCTTTTTTCTAACATCCACATCCCATATCCAACCACAGTAAAGTTGTTCCTTTGGATAGAAGTTATTTACATAATATCGTTAAAAACTTCAAGTAAAGTCGAACAATTAATCACTTGCAAATGATTCACATATTATGTATTAATTTATTTTAACAAAGAAATAGATGCTATTAGCTTACCATTTTATCTCCCATTCTTCTTCGAACATGATAAGGCCGAAGATCATCGCCATAACGGACAAAATAATAATAAGACACGAGACGCTCCAATGGCTTTCGTAATATATTAATATAGATTGGTTGCTGGTTGACACCAAACCTAGATGGAAAAATATTATATTTTAGTAAATAACAGCTGAAGTTGAAGTCATTTTTTTTATTTGTCAAAATATAATATACTGCTTACCATTAATTTCACATATAAAAATGTGAACAAAATTCTTTTGGTGTGATTTAAAAATATACTCCTGTTCTCTCTCCACAGACAGTACCTGTTAAAATCAAGATAGGCAAGATGTCCATGATAAATTCCCGGCTTTTTTTCCACCCAGTTGGATACATTGTACACAAACCGCATCTGCAGCAGAGATAAAAATTATTTAATGAAACATGTTTTTTGCTCTATACAGTATGCATATTCACACTTCGTAAGTTAACACCATCTGTGAAATGTGACACTACCAAAATTTTCCTAAAATGTTTTAGTCACTGCATATCTCCCCACTCTTTTATAACTGATTAGTACTGTACTTGATAAGCTATCATAAATTTCAGCCGAAGGACTCTGAATGCTAGTTCAAGTATGTATAAAAAAAAAAGTTGAAAAATTTTCTAGAAGTAGGCTGACTCCTCAGTTGATCAGGAAAACATTAACATAATTTTGATTAAGGAAACATTCAACAAATTCAGAAAGTACAAAGGAATGAAAGTTAGAAAGTGATTGGTGGGCTGAGAAAAATAAAACAGCAGATGCTGAACAAAAGAAAAAATTGGATCCTGAATGAGAGGGGAAAGACAGATCACAAAATGAAAGTATGATAAGACTAAAGGAATATGATGAAAAAGCTAGTCCTACACAAAAAAATCAGTGAATAAAAAGATTACAAGGAAGAAAGGGGCATCCAAAAATTAAAAAAAAATAGGTGTGTAAGGCATGATCCTCCAACAACCCAGATAGAAGTATGGTGTGTCATAACCTAACTATGGCATTGAATAAGAAGCTCTTTGGGAAAGAAAAATGAAACTGCAGAAAGGTGATTAAATTAGGAATATTAGTTAGCAAAAAATCTGATAGAAGTGCAGTAAATGGAGAGATTACATAGTATTTGGTGGGTGGAAATGATAAAAACTGGTCAAGTAATGACCAGTGTAGATATTTGGTGTACATGAAAGTGAAGATTAGGTACAGTACTCAATGAAACAACAAACACAAATGCACTATAATGTGATCCTTTATTAACAATGTTTTGCCCACACAGTGGGTTTTATCAAGCCACAAATATTTCTCCCACTGTGTGGGCAAAATGTTGTCAAAAAAAGGATCACATTATAGTGTATTTGTGTTTATTTTTCCATCGTGTCAGTATTTTATACCATTTTTCCCCATACAGTACTCAAATTAGGACTTCCGTTTTATTTCCAGAGTTAGACTGACAAATAGGAACAACCCATTAAAAAAAATAGGGTTTTTGAGCAGCACCCTCACTCTGAATGGAGAACAACACTTAAAAGACATCCTCTTGCTATAAGAACTGCAAGCAACAAACAAAACTGACTTCTAAACATTTATTTCAGCCATGTCATCACCAAGTGGTGCCATATCCCCAATTCCGAAAAGGAAAAAAAAAATGGATGACTATTATAAACTCATTTGTTTACCTGTAGCTCACTTGTAGATGGTACCAGGGATTACTGCCCCCTGCAGCTGGTTCCAAAACAGGCCTCCCTGTTGATGGATTGTTCAGTCAGGCTGTTGGTGCTCACTACATGCAGTCTAACTTAAGCATTATTGCCAGGATGATTAGGAATTTGTTTAACAAACTAATCAATTTACCTCTTAAAGGCAGTTAGCAGTCTACATGATGGTTTGGCTCTAATACAGGCAAAGAAGCTGCCCTCTACATGCAATGAGAATCAATACAGTACATACCTACATACATGCTGTACTGTAAAGTGTAAATGTCAAAAAAGAAAGCAACAGCAAGTAGCTGATAAATACTAGGAGAAAAAAAAAGACAATGAATGTAATGCATTGAGAAAATGAAAAAAATGTGGAAAAAGTGTAATAATTTGCCAAAAGGAGCAATTGTGTGAAACCAAACAACTAAACCATCAATAGAAGAAATACTATTCCTTATGCCTCCCCTTTGGTAGTCAACTAAATAGCATATACACAATTGTAATCATGCAGCAAAATACTACTACTCAGTAAAATATTATTTCAGTACACCTACTAATGGTAGCAGTTCTCACCTGATCTGTTAGAGACAGTGTTGGAGTGTTCCGGGTTGTATTCATGTGAATTACATTAAATTTATTTTTGGAACAAAGGTCATAAGCTAGCCCAATGAAGGAAGTGGATCCAGTCTTTGGAACTCTATTATATATGATCACTAAGCTGTCAGGATCTATCACACGGCTGCCTAATGATGGAATACCTTCCTGGTAACTCAAGGAAGCTGAAAAGAAATTTTTTAAATTACTTCGTATAGTATATTATTATATTAATACTTCCTAAACAAAACAAAGTTAAAAGGTCAAAGAGAATTTCAAACGGGAGAAATGAATAGGGTTAAATTGAGTACATCTAAGAGAACAAAGGCTAAAGAAGGCATAAAAGGAATATTAAATGATTACCTATAGAAAAAAAGGAAGAGATGTAGTGTTAGATAGGAGTGAATGGAGACGAATGATACTTGGGACCTGACGATCTGTTGGAGTGTGAGCAGGGTAATATTTAGTGAAGGGATTCAGGGAAACCGGTTATTTTCATATAGTCGGACTTGAGTCCTGGAAATGGGAAGTACAATGCCTGCACTTTAAAGGAGGGGTTTGGGATATTGGCAGTTTGGAGGGATATGTTGTGTATCTCTATATGTATATGCTTCTAAACTGTTATATTCTGAGCACCTCTGCAAAAGCAGTGATAATGTGTGAGTGTGGTGAAAGTGTTGAATGATGATGAAAGTATTTTCTTTTTGGGGATTTTCTTTCTTTTTTTTTTGGGTCAACCCCTGCCTCGGTGGGAGACGACCGACTTGTTGAAAAAAAAAAAAAAAAAAAAAAAAATAAATAAAGGTGGGATGCAAGAAGTAGATTACAGTAAGTGTTTATGCATCTGGGGTTGACAGATGTCATGATCTTGTAAGAGTGAGGAAGAACCAGATGTGAGTGTGTGGGAAGAGTGTGAAGCACTGATTAGAATGAAAGTGGATAGATGGGATGAAGACAGAAATATTAAAGGCAGGTGGGGATGTTTGGGAGTAGTTTGTGTGCTATTTTCCAGTAAAAGTAGGTGTGTGATTCTACCATGGTTAACATATTTGCAGATGGATGTGTAACAGAGTTGAATGTTAGGGTACTGGGAAAAAGTGTGAGATTATAAATTAATGAATCCAATACAAAGTGAAAATTGTCACAATTGATCTTTGCTGATGACACAGAAGTTTGGAAGAAAAGTTGCAAAGATTGGTGTAAGAATTTGAGGTGTGTAAAAACAAGGAAATTAAATATGAACATAGAAAAGAACAAAGTGATGAAAGTAATAAAATAGTCTAGGCAATGAAAGATTGGATATCAGATTGGAAGGAGTGAGCATAAAGTGAATGTATTTAGATATTTTGGAGTGAACATGTTGGCAAAGGGATCTATAAAAAATGAGATAAATCATAAGATAGATGGGGGGATAAAAAGTTACATGAAGTGTTGAAAGAGTATATATGAAAGCAACAAGGGAAATGTACTATAGTACAGTGGTAAGTTGAACTCTTGACTGAACAGACTAATAGGGAAGAGCAAGTGGCTAGTAATAGCAACTGTGGTGGATAGAGATAAGAATGTTTTGCTGTCATTGCAACAACAATGGGTAATTCCATAAGCAATGAACTTTGTGACTTTCAAATTCAAATGACCAATTAGATTTTGTCCTGAATTTCTGAAATTTGTTAGATTGAGGATTTATTGTAACGCTCTTCTCTTACATGGGTGCGAGGCAGGGCTTTAAAAGATGCAGTAAGCAGGAGGTAGTGAAGACATGTTTGAAAGCAATGTTTTGGTACAAATATTATGCAGAGAAATCAGAGAACAGAAATTAGAAGATGTTGTGGGAGTTACACAAGGGTATAATTAAGGAGGCAGAGGAGGAGTTAAAGTGGTCTGGGCATTTTGAGATGGAGCAGAACAGGATGACCAAAACAGTGTATATATTTAGATCAAAAGAAAGGAAAGGTAGGGCTCATTCCTAGAAAGGTTAGAGGGAGAAGGTAAAAGTGGCTGAGTCATAGAGGCTTGAGAATCCAGCAGTCTTGTGTGAGCTTATTAAACTGAAGTGGAGACAAGTAGCTTTTAAGACTTTACATGCTGCTGGAGTGTGAACAAGTGTGGAGATGTTGCAGTTTGCAGGATCAATTGAACTGTGAGATCTGTGCACTTCTGGCAACACAGATGTTGAGTAAATGATAATGAATTTGTTTCCTTTTCTGGATCACTATCTTTGTGGAAGAAATTACCCAAGTCGGTAAATAATACTTTGAGGGAGCATTGGGGAAGGATTGTCTGAGTCAGTTAAATCTGAATGTAAAAAAAAGACACTACAGAACACTTTTGTGCGTATAATACAGTACAATATGCACAACTTACTGACATAATAAACACTGAAAATAATAAGTTAAAAGTACATTCTACTTAGCAGATTTTGTCCATTACTCCTGAAGTCTATTAAATTGAGGGTTTACTTATATTTAAAAAACACCTGTGGTCAGTATTAAACAATTAATAATATACTTCATTTATCTTGTCATCTAAAAACTCTTGAACCAGATGAAACAAGACTGTACCGTATTATGAAAAATAGTCTTCCTCTTATTAATTTAATGGTGTATAAGAATCCTGTATTTTATAAAAAAAAATTAAGACAGTAATCTTGAGATACAAAACCTCGGTAATAATTTTCATTTACACAAGAAGAGATACAATTGGTATACAGGTGTACAATACTGTAATCCTAAAGAATAATAAGTACTTTATACATTGTAGTGCCAATTAATAAGATAATCTAAGAGCATAAAAGTATTTATGTAAAATGAAATACAGTAATCCCTCAATAATCGTCCGGCTCGATAGTCGTCCTTTTCGGAAATCGTCACGTTATTCTCGTCCAAACATTGGCTCGCAAATGGTCGGTTTACTCGCTAATCGTCCTTTGTCTGGGACGCGTACTCACGCTCTGAGCCGCCTCGGCCTCCCTTCCCAGCCAGTGTGCCATTGTTTACCAGTGAGCGACGGTCCCCCCACTTGTTCATACGAAATATTTCATAATATTCCATTCATTTTAGTGCTTGCAAGTGCTAAATAAGCTACCATGGCTCCAAAGAAAGCTCCTTTGGTAAAGAAAGTGAGAAATGTGATTGAATATAAGAAAAACATCATTGAACAATATGAAAGTGGCGTATGAGCCTATGTCAGTTGTGAACTCTATTGTGGCATTGGGGAGTTCCATGGGGTTGGATGTGAGTTTGGAGAATGTGGAAGAGTTGGTGTAGGGCCACAAGGAAGAGCTAACCACTGAGGAGCTGCAAGAGCTTCAGCAGGAACAGCACCAGATCGCAGCTCAGAGTCTTGCTGCAGAGGAGGAGGAAGAGAGATGGAAGAAGGTGCCTTCTTCAGAAATTAAGGAGATTTTTGAAATGTGGGGTAGGATGGAAAGATTTATGGAGAAACATCACCTTGAGAAGGATGTTCCAAGCCATATCAGCAACTTGTACAGTGACAGAGTCTTGGCCCATTTTAGGGAAGTTTTACAGAGATGCCAGAAACAGAGATCTCTGGGCACTTTTTTGTGAGACAGGACTCCAGTGACTCTAAAGCTGGTCCTAGTGGCATTAAGAAGCAGAGAAGAGAAGTAACCCCAGAAAAGCACTTGGTACCTGAGGTGTTGAGGGAAGGGGATTCCCCTTCCAAACAGTAATTCAATGTCTCTCCTCCTCCAGTCTTCCATACACTAAGAAGAATCGCCAATAAAGGTAAGTGTTATGCTGTTAATGTTTCATTCATCATGTCCCATTGTATTGTTTATGTACTACATCTATATTTTATGCAAAAAATTTTTTATTTTAATACTTTTGGGTGTCAGGAACAGATTAATTGTATTTACATTATTTCTTATGGGGAAAATTGATTCGAAAATCGTCATTTTCGATAATCGTCGCACTTCCAGGAACGGATTACGGACGATAAATGAGGGACCACTGTACATAACAACAGTAAGTGAACATACAAATTCCTGAGTAGATTTCTAGAAGAGTTGTAATACAGAGAACCTAAGCACTGAAATATTTATAATACATATTTTAAATCCCTAAACTCATTAAAAATTCTTCACCAGATCAAGATATTTCATTATATAACAGCTTACAATGAGAGTGTATGGTATTTCGAAGGTGTGCGACTTCTGTTGCTAAGTGAAGATACAACAGCATTACCACTGCACTCACACCCACCATCAAAAGCACGACCACACGTGAACTCTTCATTCGAGAGCTGTTCATGCTGAAAAAAAACGTATACACAACCTGTAAGTCACATAATTAATAGTTATTAAATTTTTTTACACCGCATAAAAAAAATGCTTGTGGGTATTTTATGTGATCCTACCTACAACTACTGTACAATACAGTACATACTAAAGCATTTATAAATCAGTGTACACTATCCCCATTCTGAACATTGTACGTACTTTAGTTAATTTGTGCCTCAATTTTTCACAGAGCACTTGAAGGTTCTAGAAAAATGACAAATGAAACAATGAGGCTCATCCTTATAAAGTCTTATGTAAAGTGCTGCAATTAACATATGAAAATAATCCAATATTCCAGCCTTTTATGTTTTATTGATAAACCTTAGAAAATTGCACAAGCAACTTTTAATAGCCAGGAGATAAAAAAAAATTATTTACTCTATTTATTTAATGGGATAGTGGTAAACCCACAGGGGCTATGCAGTGCCTTGGGAAATGGGAGGTAATCACATTCAGTCCAATGAAGATGATAGTAGCTCCAATTCTTTGAATCAAGAGCTATTCACCAGCATAAAGGCACCTTCCTGGAAGTGATAAGGAACCATGTTGGTACTGTAGAAACATAATTTAAACTAACTTGAGGTTCCTCCTTTAATCAAAATACTGTACATTAATGTTGCACTTAAAAATTTAGACATTAAAAACTTCTTGATGAAGTATCTCCCAGAGAATTCTGAATAGTGTACCTACAAGATCCCCTGTACAAAATGTAATAGACTGTATAAAGCCTAAAACAACACATGATGGGAACTGGCCACTATGATAAAGATTATAACATTCAACATCAGATATAACCAAGATTTAAATATTTTGCTTATGTAATCCTACCAACTGTTCAAAACAAAGGTGCGTTATATGGAAATCATTATCTTAAGAAAATATAATAAAAGCAAAGGTTATAAAGGCTAGTGCTGGCTGTAACCTGAGTGTACATCCATAACTTCTTAAGCTGGTTACATTCATGATCAATAATATAAGAAGGTTTTATGTTAGGTTGAAAGTCCAAATCACTCTTCTTTGGGTTAATGTAATGATATACTGCTACTAGCTATGTAACAGACAAAATAAAATAACATTAATGTAATGTAGTGAAATAAAATCTGTGAAAGAATTCTAGGCTATACAAAACTTCCATTCAAAAATGGAAAAATGACAAGAGAATTTTGCATCTATTAACATCTTTGTAAATATTCTAGCCACAAAAACTTAGCTAATCCAAACTTGTGATATACTGTATAGTTTTTCTAAGAGGGTTATAATTTTGAAAGGGGCACAGAGTATTTCAGTTTTTAAAAAGAAACAATCAAAATATTAATGTATTAAATTACACTGTATACCTGGAGAGAGTTCCAGGGGTCAATGCCCCTGCGGCCCGGTCTGTGACCAGGCCTAACGGTGGATCAAGGCCTGATCAATCAGGCTGTTACTGTTGGCCGCATGTAATCCAACGTACGAACCACAACCCATCTGATCAGATACTGACTTTAGATGCCTGTCCAGTGCCTGCTTGAAGACAGCCAGGGGTCTATTGGTAATCCCCCTGATGTATGCTGGGAAGCAGTTGAACAGTCTTGGGCCCCTGACACTTACTGTGTTATCTCTTAACATGCAGTGGAGACAGAGGGCATTTAATTCAACAAGGTTTTACCCAAGCCAAGCAGCTAAGTGTCCAGCATGGAACCTACTCAATGGCATGCTGCCCACTATGGCATACAGGTTCAAATCTATTTAAATTTTGCTGTCAAATATAGCAAACAGGATCAAATCCACTACAGCAAACAGGTTTAAATCTGCTTTTATTAAGTCAGGACTTGATCAAGAAGTGAACAGATCTAAATACTGTCCCAATAAAAGTTTGTTCTGCAAAATGTATCTTAATATTATTCCATTTCAGTTTTAGGGTTGTCACAGGTTAATATTATTACATAAAGACTTAGCGTTAAACCCAGAGGGGGTCGTAGAGGTGGGGAATCGGAAGCAAGAATAATATATATACTGTAGTGTTAAGTAGTCTGTAAGCCAATAATGTTAAGTCGGCCCATATGCCTAAGCATAATAGGGGCTCTCTCTGCATTGCAACCCATTATTGTAAATACAAAATCTCAATGTACTATTTGCAAAGACATATAAAATTGTCGCACTATGGTATAAGAGGGCACTCCCTCAACTACCTAAAGTCTTACCTCAGTAACAGAAACCAATATGTGTACACAAACGGGGCAAACTCTTCAGCACAGCCAATTACAGTTGGTGTCCCACAGGGAAGTGTCCTAGGCCCTCTTCTCTTTCTCATATACATAAATGACCTACCAAATGCATCGCAACTACTCAAACCCACACTATTTGCAGATGACACTACAAACGTCTTCTCTCACCCGAGCCCAGTCACGCTAGCCAATACTGTAAATACCGAATTACAGAAAATATCTACCTGGATGAGTACTAACAAACTTACTCTAAACATTGACAAAACCTACTTCATTCAGTTTGGTAACAGAGCTACAGACGTCCCTCTTAACATAAAGATAAACGGATCACCTATCACAAAACTCACAGAGGAAAAATTCTTAGGACTCCACCTTGATAATAGACTCAAATTTCAAACACATATACAACAAATTTCCCAAAAAATTTCCAAAACCGTAGGCATACTATCGAAGATACGGTACTATGTTCCACAGTCAGCCCTCCTGGCCCTATATCACTCACTTATTTACCCCTATCTCACCTATGGAATTTGTGCATGGGGCTCAACAACAATAAACCATCTCAGACCATTAATTACCCAACAAAAGGTTGCAGTCAGAATGATAACAAATTCCCACTACAGACAGCACACTCACCAATATTCAAAACTCTAAACCTACTCACCATACAAAACATCCATACTTATTACTGCACCTACTACATTCATAGAACACTTAATTCTGATATAAACCCTCCCCTCAAACGTCTCCTTACCAACCTCAACAGAACACACGACCATAACACAAGGCACAGATCACTCTTTGATGTTCCTCGTGCCCATCTCACGCTATGCAAAAACTCAATGCACAGAAAAGGCCCTAAAATCTGGAATTCATTACCTGTGAATATAAAAGAAACACTGTCTGTTTCTAAATTCAAGTCTCTTCTCAAAAATCACTTACTCACCCACAACTAAATAAATACTGAATAATTATATCATAAATTGTATCTTGTAAATGTTTCTCATTATTGTATCTCATAAATGTCTAACCTGTGACCCAATCAAACTTTATTTTTTAATTACATTACCTAACATAATACTCCATTCTACTGAATGTTCAGCAACACAGTAAATGGCCCTATGACCTGTCTTTGTAATACTCATTTGTGCTAAATTGTTATCTGTTTACAATAATGTTTTTACCACTGAATATATCATTGCTTAGTTAATCTTAAGTTAGTTTTAAGCTGCCCATAATGCTCTACATACAAGTGGCTTTGGCATGTTACACTGTAACAACTGTGTACTTCACTGTATCATGTTCAAATTAATAAATAAATAAATAGGTTAGGTATGCAGACTGCTAATTTAAATTTAAACAATGGCTGCATAACGCACATGATTACTGGTGACATAATGGTGGTAAATTATGATAATTTAACCTTGGATAATTTAACAAAACAAAATAGCATGAGAAAGTTGAAGTTAAAGGTGCTATGGCACACTGGTTATCAAGGCCACAAAACACCTGTATACCTAACGTAATAAATATTTTAATTGTTCCTACAGATAAATAAAGTAAAAGACAAACATTTGTGTGCATATAGATAGAAGTGACCTTTACACCAGACATTACAACCTAACATTACTGGGAACTGTACCATAGAAACCTCAGCATCATCATAACCCTCTACTTTATCCCGAGGCAATTATTTTTTGCCTAATTACTGTCAATCAAGAGTGAAGCTTAAGTAATAATTTTCTCCCTAAAGACCTTTAAATATGCGTCAATAAATCAGGTTGGACGTGGGTACGGCACATCCACCTCTCACCCACCATACATCACTATATGCATGCATAACTTGCCTCCATTATGTACCTCAACACACATCAAAGTTCATGTATACAATATACAAGAAGGGACGGTGAAATCTCACCTCAAAATAGGGGTTATGACCGCAAATTAGCTTGCGGGCTCACCCACTTGTCTTTCAAAACATTGCGACACTTGGCAAGACTACCCTGGGGCGCCTACGTTCCAAGTTACGTCTTATTAGTATATATAATGTACTCTTATATGTACAATGTACTGTTTCATTCATTATGTACTGTTACATTCATAATGTACTGTTACATTCATAATGTACTGTTACATTCATAATGTACTGTTACATTCATAATGTACTGTTACATTCATAATGTACTGTTACATTCATAATGTACTGTTACATTCATAATGTACTGTTACATTCATAATGTACTGTTACATTCATAATGTACTGTTACATTCATAATGTACTATTACATTCATAATGTACTGTTACATTCATAATGTACTGTTACATTCATAATGTACTGTTACATTCATAATGTACTGTTACATTCATAATGTACTGTTACATTCATAATGTACTGTTACATTCATAATGTACTGTTACATTCATAATGTACTTACATTCATAATGTACTGTTACATTCATAATGTACTGTTACATTCATAATGTACTGTTACATTCATAATGTACTGTTACATTCATAATGTACTGTTACATTCATAATGTACTGTTACATTCATAATGTACTATTACATTCAAATGTACTGTTACATTCATAATGTACTGTTAATTCATAATGTACTGTTACATTCATAATGTACTGTTACATTCATAATGTACTGTTACATTCATAATGTACTGTTACATTCATAATGTACTGTTACATTCATAATGTACTGTTACATTCATAATGTACTGTTACATTCATAATGTACTGTTACATTCATAATGTACTGTTACATTCATAATGTACTGTTACATTCATAATGTACTGTTACATTCATAATGTACTGTTACATTCATAATGTACTGTTACATTCATAATGTACTGTTACATTCATAATGTACTGTTACATTCATAATGTACTGTTACATTCATAATGTACTACTACATTCATAATGTACTGTTACATTCATAATGTACTGTTACATTCATAATGTACTGTTACAGCCATAACACAATACACTGTATGTCAATGTATGTCAAAGGCCCTAAAATCTGGAATACCCTACCTGAGAACTCTAGAACTGCAGACACATTCATCACCTTCAAAACTACCATTAGAAAACATCTTATCTCCCTGATACACCCCGTCAACTAACTACACGAATACCACCTGGTGGTTCACACTTACACTCGCTCACTCATTTGACCATAAACAGAAATATTAATCTCAGTCTTAAAATAATGAATCCTGTGATACTCCAATACTGAAACTATATACTGTGCCAAAACAAAAGCATTCACATTGCTAAACTCATAAACTAGTATTTAGTCACTTAGCCATAATACCAACTTACCTCATAATTTGTAATATTTTACAATTAAGAATAAAACTAAGTATGCCCGAAATGCCTAGCCATGCTAAGCGTTCTAGTGGTACACTCTGTAATCACAATTTTACTACATGTAAACCAAACAATAACCAAATTTCTGTAAACTAGAGAATAAACTTTGAATTGAAAAAAAAAATTGCATTTGATATCGAAAACAGAGCGCTTATCCTACATGAACTAGCCAAAATGAATATTGGTGGTAGCTTACTCTGTTGGATAATAGGATACCTGTCAAATATGACCTGTCTGTGTAATACTCATTTGTGCTTTATTGTTATCTTTTTACAATAATGTTTTATCACTGATTACATCATTGTTTAGTTAATGTTGAGTTAATTTTAAGCCAGCCCGTAATGCTATGCATACAAGTGGCTTTGGCATACTGCTCTTACCTGTATTTTTTGTACCTCTGTATGTTCAAATTATTAAATAAATAAATAAATAAATAAAATAGAGTATCCTCTGTCCTCTACCAAGGTTGTAGAAGCGAGTGTAAAGAAAAGCCCCTAGGTACACCGCAGGGAGGAGTTCTCAGTCCCATGCTGTTTAATGTTACTTGACTCATGAAATCGTAATGACACGGTCTGGAGTTTTGAGACTCTGATCGCGGGTTCTATCCCCGCCCGTGGTATCAATTGTTTAATGTTCTGATTAATGCTCTCCTAAATGCTCTACCTGCCTCACTTAAACATATGGATATAAACTATGCTGATGACATCATGATCCATACAACAGGGCATAAGCAGATGAGTACCATTCTTAATGAAGTTCAAGCAATTTGTAATCGTCTAGGCCTCATATCTTCCTCTAAAACAAAGATATTAACAAGCAAACGACGTCCCCCACCCATCTGGAAATAAGTCACTTTGTCTGACTTTTTTGAGTTATTCTAGGTACTTTACACATATGCTGCTATGTATGATAATCCCCCTTATGTATGTTGGGAGGCAGTTGAACAGTCTCGGGCCTCTGACACTTATTGTATGGTCTCTTAACGTGCTAGTGACACCCCTGCTTTTCATTGGGGGGGATGTTGCATCGTCTGCCAAGTCTTTTGCTTTCGTAGTGAGTGATTTTCGTGTGCAAGTTCGGTACTAGTCCCTCTAGGATTTTCCAGGTGTATATAATCATGTATCTCTCCCGCCTGCGTTCCAGGGAATACAGGTTTAGGAACCTCAAGCGCTCCCAGTAATTGAGGTGTTTTATCTCCGTTATGCGAGCCGTGAAGGTTCTCTCTACATTTCCTAGGTCAGCAATTTCACCTGCCTTGAAAGGTGCTGTTAGTGTGCAGCAATATTCCACCATATCACAACTAAATAAGAAATGCAAAGATAGGCTAAATGCTCTTAAAGCTGTTGCTGGCTACAGCCCCAACTATGGTGTTAGTGTAAGAATGGTGAGAATGATGTACATAGCCTATGTTAGGTCCTTAATTGATTATGCTGCTCCCATTTTGATATTAGCTAGAGAATGTTCTCTCCGAACCTTGGAGTTAATGCAAAATGAACAAATTATAGAGTAATGAGCAATTCACACATCCACACCCGGTCACAACTATAATGAGTTATTGGTGCAAATTTTAATTGCTGGTTCACACACGCACACACACACACACACACACACACACACACACACACACACACCACACACACACACACACACACACACACACACACACACACACACACACATCAGGCCTAGTGTCTAATCGACATGTGCCTAGGACCAAATGGTAACTAACACACACACACACACAGGACCCGTGCTATTTTTGATATATGTGAACGACATGATGGAAGGAATAGACTCTGAAGTGTCCCTATTCGCAGATGATGTGAAGTTGATGAGAAGAATTAAATCGGATGAGGATGAGGCATGACTGCAAAGAGACCTGGACAGGCTGGACATGTGGTCCAGTAACTGGCTTCTCGAATTCAATCCTGCCAAATGCAAAGTCATGAAGATTGGGGAGGGGCAAAGAAGACCGCAGACAGGGTATAGGCTAGGTGGACAAAGACTACAGACCTCACTCAGGGAGAAAGACCTCGGGGTGACCATAACACCGAGCACGTCACCGGAGGCACACATCAACCAAATAACTGCTGCAGCATACGGGCGCCTGGCAAACCTGAGAATAGCGTTCCGATTCCTTAATAAGAAATCGTTCAAGACACTGTACGCTGTGTATGTTAGGCCCATACTGGAGTATGCAGCACCAGTCTGGAACCCACACCTGGTCAAGCACGTCAAGAAGTTAGAGAAAGTACAAAGGTTTGCAACAAGGCTAGTCCCAGAGCTCAGGGGAATGTCGTACGAGGAAAGGTTGAGGGAACTCGAACTGACGACACTGGAGGACAGAAGGGTCAGGGGAGACATAATAACGACATACAAGATACTACGGGGAATAGACAAGGTGGACAGAGATAGGATGTTCCAGAGAGGGAACACAGGAACAAGGGGTCACAACTGGAAGCTGAAGACCCAGACGAGTCACAGGGACGTTAGGAAGTATTTCTTCAGTCATAGAGTCGTCAGGAAGTGGAATAGCTTAGCAAGTGAAGTAGTGGAGGCAGGAACCATACATAGTTTTAAGAAGAGGTATGATAAAGCTCAGGAAGCAGAGAGAGAGAGGACCTAGTAGCAATCAGTGAAGAGGCGGGGCCAGGAGCTGAGTCTCGACCCCTGAAACCACAATTAGGTGAGTACACACACACACACACACACACACACACACACACACACACACACACACACACACACACACACACACACACACACACACACACACACACACACACACACGCACACACACACACACACACACACACACACACACACACACACACACCACACACACACACACACACACACACACATACACACACGCACACACACACACACACACACACACACACACACACACACACACACAGATGGGACACAGACACAAGAGGTCACAATTGGAAGTTGAAGACTCAGATGAATCAAAGGGATGTTAGGAAGTATTTCTTCAGTCATAGAGTAGTCAAGCTGTGGAATAGCCTAGAAAGTGAAGTAGTGGAGGCGGGAACCATACATAGTTTTAAGGCGAGGTATGATAAAGCTCATGGAGCAGGGAGAGAGAGGACCTAGTAGCAATCAGTGAAGAGGCGAGGCCAGGAGCTATGACTCGACCCCTGCAACCACAAATAGGTGAGTACAAATAGGTGAGTACACACACACACACACACACACACACTGTTGTATAGCCACATCAGGAGGAAGACAACAGTCAAAGACCAGGTGATCAGATTATGGACAGAAGGGGGAGAACTCACAAGAAATGACCAGTAGGTATGTGAGGAGCTAAACAGGAGATTTAAGGAAGTTTTTACAGTAGAGACAGGAAGGGCTGTGGGAAGTCAGCACAGAAGGGAATATCAAGAGGGAATATACCACCAAGTGTTGGATGACATACGAACAACCGAGGAGGAGGTGAAGAAGCTGCTAAGTGACCTTGATACCTCAAAGGCGATGGGACCGGACAACATCTCCCCATGGGTCCTTAGAGAAGGAGCAGAGATGCTGTGCGTGCCTCTAACCACAATCTTCAACACATCCCTTGAAACTGGGCAACTACCTGAGAAATGGAAGACAGCAAATGTAGTCCCCATATTTAAGAAAGGAAACAGAAACGAGGCACTAAACTACAGACCTGTGTCTCTGACATGTATTGTGTGCAAAGTCATGGAGAAGATTATCAGGAGGAGAGTGGTCGAACACCTGGAACGGAACAAGATTATAAATGAAAACCAGCATGGGTTCATGGAAGGCAAATCTTGTATCACAAACCTCCTGGAGGGTTATGACAAGGTAACAGAAGTAAGACACAAGAGAGAGGGGATGGTTGATTGCATTTTCCTAGACTGCAGGAAGGCCTTTGACACAGTTCCCCACAAGAGATTAGTGCAGAAGCCGGAGGATCAGGCGCATGTAACAGGGAGGGCACTGCAATGGATCAGGGAATACCTGACAGGGAGGCAGCAACGAGTCATGGTACGTGAAGAGGTATCACAGTGGGCGCCTGTGACAAGCGGGGTCCCACAGGGATCAGTTCTAGGGCCAGTGCTATTTCTGATATATGCGAACGACATGATGGAAGGAATAGACTCTGAAGTGTCCCTATTCGCAGATGATGTGAAGTTGATGAGAAGAATTAAATCGGATGAGGATGAGGCATGACTGCAAAGAGACCTGGACAGGCTGGACATGTGGTCCAGAAACTGGCTTCTCGAATTCAATCCTGCCAAATGCAAAGTCATGAAGATTGGGGAGGGGCAAAGAAGACCGCAGACAGGGTATAGGCTAGGTGGACAAAGACTAAAGACCTCACTCAGGGAGAAAGACCTCGGGGTGACCATAACACCGAGCACGTCACCAGAGGCACACATCAACCAAATAACTGCTGCAGTATACGGGCGCCTGGCAAACCTGAGAATAGCGTTCCGATACCTTAATAAGGAATCGTTCAAGACACTGTACACTGTGTATGTTAGGCCCATACTGGAGTATGCAGCACCAGTCTGGAACCCACACCTGGTCAAGCACATCAAGAAGTTAGAGAAAGTACAAAGGTTTGCAACAAGGCTAGTCCCAGAGCTCAGGGGGATGTCGTACTAGGAAAGGTTGAGGGAAATCGGACTGACGACACTGGAGGACAGAAGAGTCAGGGGAGACATAATAACGACATACAAGATACTGCGGGGAATAGACAAGGTGGACAGAGATAGGATGTTCCAGAGAGGTGACACAGGAACAAGGGGTCACAGCTGGAAGCTGAAGACCCAGACGAGTCACAGGGACGTTAGGAAGTATTTCTTCAGTCATAGAGTCGTCAGGAAGTGGAATAGCCTAGCAACTGAAGTAGTGGAGGCAGGAACCATACATAGTTTTAAGAAGAGGTATGATAAGCTCAGGAAGCAGAGAGAGAGAGGACCTAGTAGCAATCAGTGAAGAGGCGGGGCCAGGAGCTGAGTCTCGACCCCTGCAACCACAATTAGGTGAGTACAATTAGGTGAGTACACACACACACACACACACACACACACACACACACACACACACATACACACACACACACACACACACACAGGCGGGGCCAGGAGCTGAGTCTCGACCCCTGCAACCACAATTAGGTGAGTACACACCTAGAAAGGAATGATTTCATCAACAGCAGCCAACATGGTTTCAGGGACGGGAAATCCTGTGTCACAAACCAACTGGAGTTCTATGACATGGTGACAGCAGTAAGACAAGAGAGAGAGGGGTGGGTGGATTGCATTTTCTTGAACTGCAAGAAGGCGTTTGACACGGTACCACACAAGAGATTAGTGCAAAATATGGAGGACCAATCAGGGATTACAGGGAAGGCACTACAATGGATCAGGGAATACTTGTCAGGAAGACAGCAGCGAGTAATGGTACGTAGCGAGGTGTCAGAGTGGGCACCTGTGACCAGCGGGGTCCCACAGGGGTCAGTCCTAAGACCAGTGCTGTTTCTGGTATTTGTGAACAACATGACGGAATAGACTCCGAGGTGTCCCTGTTTGCAGATGACGTGAAGTTGATGAGAAGAATTCATTCGATCGAAGACCAGGCAGAACTACAAAGGGATCTGGACAGGCTGCAGACCTGGTCCAGCAATTGGCTCCTGGAGTTCAATCCCACCAAGTGCAAAGTCATGAGGATTGGGGAAGGGCAAAGAAGATCGCAGACGGAGTACAGTCTAGGGGGCCAGAGACTACAAACATCACTCAAGGAAAAAGATCTTGGGGTGAGTATAACACCAGGCACATCTCCTGAAGCGCACATCAACCAAATAACTGCCGCAGCATATGGGCGCCTGGCAAACCTCAGAACAGCATTCCGACATCTTAATAAGGAATCATTCAGGACCCTGTACACCGTGTACGTTAGGCCCATATTAGAGTATGCGGCACCAGTTTGGAACCCACACCTAGCCAAGCATGTAAAAAAATGAACAATAAAATGGTATAAAATACCGACAGGTTGTTAGGTAAGACACATATGCAACAGTTAGGTATCATTATTATGAAACGTTTCGCCTACACAGAAGGCTTCTTCAGTCGAGTACAGAAAAGTTGATAGAAGCAGAAGATACTTGAAGACGATGTAATCAGTCCATCACCCTTAAAGTTTTGAGGTGGTCAGTCCCTCAGTCTGGAGAAGAGCATTGTTCCATAGTATGAAACAATATGGAGATGAAGTGACAGGATGGAGCTTTATATAGCGCCAAGAGGTGAGACGTAGGTCACTAGAAGAGGTAAGAACTCAGATGTTGAGAGGTCAGGTCCCTCTCAAATCCAGCCGCTCTCACTAGTGGAAGTTGTCGAAGTTGATTGCAGGTCTGTACCAAGATACCCCTGTGTTGCAGTGTCTGGCAGATTGAACTCTGTACTCGACTGAAGAAGCCTTCTGTGCAGGCGAAACGTTTCATAATAAAGATACCTAACTATTGCATATGTGTCTTACCATGTAAAAAAAATGACAGGATGGATAATGAGAACCTTCAAAACGAGGGATGCCAAGCCCATGATGACACTCTTCAGGTCACTTGTTCTATCTAGGCTGGAATATTGCTGCACACTAACAGCACCTTTCAAGGCAGGTGAAATTGCTGACCTAGAAAATGTACAGAGAACCTTCACGGCGCGCATAACGGAGATAAAACACCTCAATTACTGGGAGCGCTTGAGGTTCCTGAACTTGTATTCCCTGGAACGCAGGTGGGAGAGATACATGATTACATACACCTGGAAAATCCTAGAGGGACTAGTACCGAACTTGCACACGAAAATCACTCACAACGAAAGCAAAAGACTTGGCAGACGATGCAACATCCCCCCAATGAAAAGCAGGGGTGTCACTAGCACGTTAAGAGACCATACAATAAGTGTCAGGGGCCCGAGACTGTTCAACTGCCTCCCAGCATACATAAGGGGGATTACCAACAGACCCTGGCAGTCTTCAAGCTGGCACTGGACAAGCACCTAAAGTCGGTTCCTGATCAGCCGGGCTGTGGCTCGTACGTTGGTTTGCGTGCAGCCAGCAGTAACAGCCTGGTTGATCAGGCTCTGATCCACCAGGAGGCCTGGTCACAGACCGGGCCGCGGGGGCGTTGACCCCCGGAACTCTCTCCAGGTAAACTCCAGGTAAACAACGAAAGGAAAAGACTCGGCAGACGATGCAACATCCCCCCAATGAAAAGCAGGGGTGTCACTAGCACGTTAAGAGACCATACAATAAGTGTCAGGGGCCCGAGACTGTTCAACTGCCTCCCAGTATACATAAGGGGGATTACCAATAGACTCCTGGCTGTCTTCAAGCAGGCTCTGGACAAGCACCTAAAGTCGGTACCTGACCAGCCGGGCTGTAACTCGTACGTTGGATTGCGTGCAACCAGCAGTAACAGCTTGGTTGATCAGGCTCTGATCCACCATGAGGCCTGGTCACAGACCGGGCCGCGGGGGCGTTGACTCCCGGAACTCTCTCCAGGTAAACTCCAGGTTATGGGTTAACCTAGGTTATCTACACTATGTATAATAATTGTAATTATGTGTACCTGTGCCTAAATGAACTTAACTAACTAACTAGCTAACTAGCTAACTAACTAACTAACTAAATAAATAAATGTCCTGTAACTCGACTGTTAGTGCCAATAGCTGGAGCACTAGCGCACTCAGCTCACACACTGAGGTCCGGAGTTCAAATCTCCGGTACGGCTGGAAAACATTAGGGACATATTTCCATAAGACACCTGCTGCCCCTGTTCACCCATCAGTATAAAATGAGTACCTGAGTGATAGTGGACTGGTGTGGGTCGCATCCTGGGACAAAATTTAATTAATTTGAGGGAAATGTTCTGCATAACAAGTGGCTTTCAATATAGTAATATGTCACAGATGTCAACTAGGCCTGTATACCTTGTAGAAATAAAGATATTTATTATTATTTAGAAGAGAGAAACGCGAAGTTAATGTGTTTTGTTTTATGTTTGTTTACGTTGAGTCCAACATGGCGACCCAGCAGTCTGAACCTGACTCTCTCTCACAACTCAACCCGATTTTGAGTGAAATACAGAGTGACAATAAGGCTAAAAGGAGGAAGGGGCTTGAGAAATACCAGCAAGTTGTTTTTGAGAGTGGGGGGGAGCTTAATAAGGACAGCCTATCGGAAATTTTTGGGTTTTCATTGAGGTTGCTGGTGACTGGTTTGTCTGACGTATCTGAGATCAATAGAATTAATGCCGCAAATATTGTCTTGAAATTTGCTGAAGGAGGCGTTGTGTCGCAAAATCAGTTAATTGATATAATTCCTACTATTCACCATAGATTGGCTGTTATTCCGCTTTTGGAGGAAAGTGAAGAGGTCAGGCTAATACTGGTCAATATTATTAAAGTGTTAACGCTTAGCTTTGAAGCTAAATTAATTCCGTTTATGAACGAAGTGGTTAATATTCTTAAAAGGACGGTAGTGGATGGTAGTCCAGATGTACGGAAAGTATCCAGTGAGTGTGTGAGTGTGTATGCCAGAGCTACGAGAGAGAAGTTCCACATGCAGTCTAAGTCACTGGTGGAGCCGCTCATCAAAGCTCTCCACCATCAACGCTTTAAGAACAGAATAGCTTCCTTAAATGCCTTGGGTAAGAGCTTTTAAAATTTACATTTAAACCCACGTGTTTAAATGTATTGTCTAATAGTGTGTACGTTAAATATTTAGTTTAATAAACTGTGGAGTATCTGGTGAACTTGCCCAATTTCCATGTCGGTGAGTTATCCAGGTGACAGACTCTGGGTCTTGGTGAAATATAACCTTACTTATGGTTATAATAATAATTACATAATATATCCAATAATGAGCAGTGCTGTATGGCCCTTGTGAGTTTAGTGTTTAGTTTTGATTGTAATAATAATATCCAATAATGTAACTTAGGTATAGGTTAGTTTATACGTTTTGGATTAATACCAACCAATACTTTGGCTAAATATGTAGATTTGTTTATATAGAACAGTGTCAAAGATTACTGACTAATCGGTGATTTGGGAACGTCAGTGAGGTCATGGATACTCAGTCCATTGATATACAGTACTGAAAAATCTTTATTTGAATATATTTTATATCAAAACACTATAGAAATTGCAGGAACAGTCTTAATTAGCAAATGCTTTACTATTTCAGAAGCAGTCTTAAAAGTTGTATGATGTACTTACCCTAATTTGATAAAATGTTATTCATACCCTATTCTAAGGATATATTTTACAGTGCCTATAATATTTCACAGGTGATCTGCTCTTGTATGGAGACGGTAGTGTCATTCAAGACGTCAGTGGTCCCTTAGCCAAGTGTGCGATGGATCTTCCACAAGTTCGTTTGGTACTGGTAGCAGTTGGTGGAGCTTTAGCACTACAGATGCCTGATCGCTATTCATACTGGCATCGTATTCTTCCCTTACTTCTATTTGGGTAATATTTAATACAAGAATTCGGTAATTGAGTACTATATTGTTTATCCGAGGCTATTGAACCAGCGGCTAGGTGCCAAAGTGTAAATGGTTGTTGAGTTAGAGGCTGTGCGAGAATTACTTTCAAGTAACATTGGCCTAGATGTTTAACCAGTTCCAAAAACTTTAAAGAAATCAAGTCTTACACACTCACCTACACACATACACACACACACACACACACATACATATATGAATAAAATTAGCGAAATAAAATTAGCAAAATCAGATGAACCCCAACTCCCACCAACAGAAACAGCAAACAGACTCAATGATTTCTTCTCCACTATAGGTCAAAACCTTGCCAATAATATCCCAAGCTCAGATACCCCACCAAATGACTACCTCACTGGCAACTACCCAAACACACTGTTCTTAGCTCCGACTAACCCATACGAAGTCTCCCTTATTATCAACGCACTAAAAAACAAGGCAGGAGATTTAAATACCTTACCACCCTTTATATACAAAAAAGCGTCACAAGTACTATCACCAATCATTGCAACACTCTTTAACAAATCCATTGAATCCTCCACCTTCCCTACAGTTCTCAAAATAGCAAGGGTCACCCCGATCCATAAAGGAGGAGACCAAACAGAGTTGAATAACTATAGGCCAATATCCAATTTACACCCTCTCTCAAAAATCTTCGAAAATTAATTCATAAACGAATCCACTCCTACCTCATCTCCTATAACATTCTCAACCCCTGCCAATTTGGATTCAGGCCTAATAAAAATACTAATGATGCTATTATACACATGCTAGAACATATATACACTGCAATAGAGAAAAAAGAAGTCCCACTGGGGATCTTCATTGACTTACGTAAAGCTTTTGATACAGTTGACCATGACTTGCTCCACGTAAAATTGTCACACTATGGTATTAGAGGGCACTCCCTCAACTACCTCAAGTCTTACCTCAGCAACAGAAGCCAATATGTGTACGCAAATGGGCAAGCTCTTCCGCACAACCAATTACAGTTGGTGTCCCACAGGGAAGTGTCCTTGGCCCTCTTCTCTTTCTCCTATACATAAATGACCTACCAAATGCTTCACAATTACTCAAACCCACACTTTTTGCAGATGACAAACCATATACGTCTTCTCTCACCCGAGCCCAGTCACGCTAGCCAATACTGTAAACACCGAATTACAGAAAATATCTACCTGGATGAGGACTAACAAACTTACACTAAACATTGACAAAACCTACTTCATTCAGTTTGGTAGCAGAGCTACAGATGTACCTCTTAACATAAAGATAAACGGATCACCTATCACAAAGCTAACAGAGGGAAAATTCTTAGGAATCCACCTCGATAATAGACTCAAATTTCATACACATATACAACAATTTTCTAAGAAAATTTCCAAGACTGTAGGCATACTATCGAAGATACGGTACTATGTTCCACAGTCACCCCTCCTGGCCCTTTATCACTCTCTATTTACCCCTATCTCACCTATGGAATTTGTGCATGGGGCCCTCAACAACAACTAACCATCTCAGACCACTAATTACCCAACAAAAGGCTGCAGTTAGAATGATAACAAATTCTCACTACAGGCAGCACACTCCACCAATATTCAAAACACTCAACCTACTCACCATACAAAACATCCATACTTATTATTGCACTTATTACATTCATAGAACACTTAACTCTGATATTAACCCTCCCCTCAAACATCTCCTTGCCAACCTCAACAGAACACATGACCATAATACAAGGCACAGATCACACTTTGATGTTCCTCGTGTCCATCTCACGCTATGCAAAAACTCAATGCACATAAAAGGCCCTAAAATCTGGAATTCATTACCTGTAAATATAAAAGAAATACTGAATAACTGAACCATATAAATTGTATATCCTAAATGTTACTCACAATTTTTTTTTTTTTTTTTTTTATTATCACACCGGCCGATTCCCACCAAGGCAGGGTGGCCCGAAAAAGAAAAACTTTCACCATCATTCACTCCATCACTGTCTTGCCAGAAGGGTGCTTTACACTACAGTTTTTAAACTGCAACATTAACACCCCTCCTTCAGAGTGCAGGCACTGTACTTCCCATCTCCAGGACTCAAGTCCGGCCTGCTGGTTTCCCTGAATCCCTTCATAAATGTTACTTTGCTCACACTCCAACAGCACGTCAAGTATTAAAAACCATTTGTCTCCATTCACTCCTATCAAACACGCTCACGCATGCCTGCTGGAAGTCCAAGCCCCCCGCACACAAAACCTCCTTTACCCCCTCCCTCCAACCCTTCCTAGGCCCACCCTACCCCGCCTTCCTTCCACTACAGACTGATACACTCTTGAAGTCATTCTGTTTCGCTCCATTCTCTCTACATGTCCGAACCACCTCAACAACCCTTCCTCAGCCCTCTGGACAACAGTTTTGGTAATCCCGCACCTCCTCCTAACTTCCAAACTACGAATTCTCTGCATTATATTCACACCACACATTGCCCTCAGACATGACATCTCCACTGCCTCCAGCCTTCTCCTCGCTGCAACATTCATCACCCACGCTTCACACCCATATAAGAGCGTTGGTAAAACTATACTCTCATACATTCCCCTCTTTGCCTCCAAGGACAAAGTTCTTTGTCTCCACAGACTCCTAAGTGCACCACTCACTCTTTTTCCCTCATCAATTCTATGATTCACCTCATCTTTCATAGACCCATCCGCTGACACGTCCACTCCCAAATATCTGAATACGTTCACCTCCTCCATACTCTCTCCCTCCAATCTGATATTCAATCTTTCATCACCTAATCTTTTTGTTATCCTCATAACCTTACTCTTTCCTGTATTCACCTTTAATTTTCTTCTTTTGCACACCCTACCAAATTCATCCACCAATCTCTGCAACTTCTCTTCAGAATCTCCCAAGAGCACAGTGTCATCAGCAAAGAGCAGCTGTGACAACTCCCACTTTGTGTGTGATTCTTTATCTTTTAACTCCACGCCTCTTGCCAAGACCCTCGCATTTACTTCTCTTACAACCCCATCTATAAATATATTAAACAACCACGGTGACATCACACATCCTTGTCTAAGGCCTACTTTTACTGGGAAAAAATTTCCCTCTTTCCTACATACTCTAACTTGAGCCTCACTATCCTCGTAAAAACTCTTCACTTTCAGTAACCTACCTCCTACACCATACACTTGCAACATCTGCCACATTGCCCCCCTATCCACCCTGTCATACGCCTTTTCCAAATCCATAAATGCCACAAAGACCTCTTTAGCCTTATCTAAATACTGTTCACTTATATGTTTCACTGTAAACACCTGGTCCACACACCCCCTACCTTTCCTAAAGCCTCCTTGTTCATCTGCTATCCTATTCTCCGTCTTACTCTTAATTCTTTCAATTATAACTCTACCATACACTTTACCAGGTACACTCAACAGACTTCTTTTCTTTCAATACACTGGCCGTATCCCACCGAGGTGGGGTGGCCCAAAAGGAAAAAGGAAAGTTTCTCCTTTCAAATTTAGTAATATATACAGGAGAAGGGGTTACTAGCCCCTTGCTCCTGGCATTTCACTCGCCTCTTACGACACGCATGGCTTACGGAGGAAGAATTCTGTTCCACTTCCCCATGGAGATAAGAGGAAATAAACAAGAACTAGAAAGAAAACAGTAGAAAACCAAGAGGGGTGTGTATATATATGCTAGAAGTAGCAAGACATACCTGAAATCTTGCATGTCTATTAGACAGACAAAAGACACCAGCAATCCTACCATCATGTAAAACAATTACAGGCTTTCGTTTTACACTCACTTGGCAGGACGGTAGTACCTCCCTGGGCGGTTGCTGTCTACCAACCTACTACTCAACAGACTTATCCCCCTATAATTTTTGCACTCTCTTTTATCCCCTTTGCCTTTATACAAAGGAACTATGCATGCTCTCTGCCAATCCCTAGGTACCTTACCCTCTTCCATACATTTATTAAATAATTGCACCAACCACTCCAAAACTATATCCCCACCTGCTTTTAACATTTCTATCTTTATCCCATCAATCCCGGCTGCCTTACCCCCTTTCATTTTACCTACTGCCTCACGAACTTCCCCCACACTCACAACTGGCTCTTCCTCACTCCTACAAGATGTTATTCCTCCTTGCCCTATACACGAAATCACAGCTTCCCTATCTTCATCAACATTTAACAATTCCTCAAAATATTCCTTCCATCTTCCCAATACCTCTAACTCTCCATTTAATAACTCTCCTCTCCTATTTTTAACTGACAAATCCATTTGTTCTCTAGGCTTTCTTAACTTGTTAATCTCACTCCAAAACTTTTTCTTATTTTCAACAAAATTTGTTGATAACATCTCACCCACTCTCTCATTTTCTCTCTTTTTACATTGCTTCACCACTCTCTTAACTTCTCTCTTTTTCTCCATATACTCTTCCCTCCTTGCATCACTTCTACTTTGTAAAAACTTCTCATATGCTAACTTTTTCTCCCTTACTACTCTCTTTACATCATCATTCCACCAATCGCTCCTCTTCCCTCCTGCACCCACTTTCCTGTAACCACAAACTTCTGCTGAACACTCTAACACTACATTTTTAAACCTACCCCATACCTCTTCGACCCCATTGCCTATGCTCTCATTAGCCCATCTATCCTCCAATAGCTGTTTATATCTTACCCTAACTGCCTCCTCTTTAGTTTATAAACCTTCACCTCTCTCTTCCCTGATGCTTCTATTCTCCTTGTATCCCATCTACCTTTTACTCTCAGTGTAGCTACAACTAGAAAGTGATCTGATATATCTGTGGCCCCTCTATAAACATGTACATCCTGAAGTCTACTCAACAGTCTTTTATCTACCAATACATAATCCAACAAACTACTGTCATTTCGCCCTACATCATATCGTGTATACTTATTTATCCTCTTTTTCTTAAAATATGTA